TTTGAATACTACCTAAATAAATCCATGTACTATTTTTATAAGGGGAAAGCTACAGTGAAAATAATTAAAAAAATGGGCGAAATTGAAATGCTAGATACAGATTAATACTTTTTCGTTCAATTTTGTAAATATTATTTAAAAAATATCCGTTTTGCTCACCCTACCTAATTGGTTTGAATTGACAGCTATGACGTCATAATAAGACGCCAGGGCAATCCTACTCTTACTAGAATAGCATAGTATCCTACATTAGCCTACAACAAAACTTGTACTGGCTTGCTTTCCTTACTTTTCTATTGCATCTTTCTTTCCAATTCACCGCAAAACAAACTTATGGCGTCATCTGTTGGCCCACAACAAAAGCGTCTGTAAAAGAAGTAGACGCGATCGATACCCACATGTAATCGAGACTCAAGACGAACTGCATCGGTAATGGCTGTTCTTGTCTAAGCCTTCCAATATAAAAATCAATGTAAATAGCGTTAGTGAGTGTGCCGGGTCGACCCAGATGTGTGCATAGACTATATAATCACGTAGGAGTGTGGTCAAGGAAGAGTGAAGCCTTCCACATCCGAAGATATCGTTGAAGCCAAGTTGGAGTTGATCGCCGCTGCCGCTAACCGTGAGTTTACCTATTCCATTTACCCTTCCTGGTGAGCCAGACTAGTTTTCTCTCACTGTAGGTAAATTTTAAGTAGCCATTCCAAAAGAAGTTTCTAATTATTTTTATTTCAAGTAAGAAGTGTCGCGATTACTACAATAAAAAAAGAAGTTCAATCCGCGCATTTTTTCTATTCTAACCTTTGACCAAAACTAAACCTAATTTTAGTCGGTCCAACTTATGTTGATTAACACAAACACTGGCTGCAAGATTTAAATAAAATTCCATATGACATGACTGCAAAATATTGCGGCATGGAGTGTAGAGCTAAGGAGAAAGAACTCACATAGTAGAACAGTTGAAAAAGTGTCCATCTGTTAGCAGTAAATAACAGTTCAAAAACTCTCCACTACAGCGCTGGAGAAGCTAGAGGGTATGAATTGAACTTAGCAGTTGTCGACGGAGTGAGGTGTGCTGAGTTGAGCAATTTAATATTTGTGATGACTAGAGTAGTTGATGAAACTGCAGTATTTAAAACCTCAACTACTCACGTTGTCTAAAATAATTTAGTAAATATAACCTAGAAAAAGTCGCCGTAAAACACGTTAAGTGATTTTGAAAATAAAAATTTTGAAAACAATAAAATAACAATTATAAAAAGAATTATGGTGAAAGTCTGTGCAATATAATGTTATAAAAGTTCTATGAAATTTACCCTCCAGCTACAGTGGCGCCACCCTTATTTAACGCTTTTCTACGGACACTTTAATACACAGTCTGTTCTCCTTACCTCTACACTCCATATATTGTGGTTTGACTTACATTATATTTTGACAGAAAGAAGTCACACTCACAAAAATTGTTACACACATTTTTTTTAGTTTTCTGACAGAGCAATAGGCGGGAAAATGGCCGCTTTAGCGCCATTTTTATAAAATAATTTTGTGAGTTTTTGAGCTGTTCTCTGTCTTTTTCTTAGTTTAATACCCTTTGTTTACCAAAAGAAATACAAAAGAATTAATTTGTTAAGTATTCCTTCTAAAACTACTAAAGCTTCACGTGAGACACGCACGAATAAATCTTCCATTTTCATTGACAGTTCTTGTTAATTGCAATCTAAATTCTTCATACCAACAAATAAAGATAAAACATACGTAATGTTTTCTTATATTTAACACTACACATTGATTAAAACTAGTTTTACGGATTTTATGAATTATGAACATGAAGCCTAATCGCAGTTTGTGATCATATCCTAGACGGCCCCTGCCATTACATCAGATTTGATAGACCACAAATCCTTGCGAAGGAACATCGATTCCTAAGAAGAATATTACGTGAGGCTATTGAAATTTAAAAAAAAACATCCTAATTTCAATAGAGAAGGAGGCTGGGTTCTACCACCTGCTTGGGATCCCGTAATTAATAAAATTAAAACTAAACCCAACCATATTACTGCAAGACTTCAAAACATAGTAAGTTCATTCTGCGTAGATCGAACCATAAACAATAATAAAAAGCTGAAGGTACTCCGGGTTAACACTGACATTCGGACGTCAGTCACCTGAGTACCCCGGACCATGGGTGCAGGTAAGCACCCGAAACGTCGGGAATTAAATAATAAACTAAATTAAACGCGATAAACCATACATTTTAAATGACACCGAAACTACGCTCAACTTGTAGTAAAATCACGCACACAAGCACAGACATGAACAAATTATTTGCAACGAAGATCAACTTGACAAAATGCGCACACAGAAATAAACACAGCGTTCTCTTAGTCACATTAAACAAAATCAGCGTTAGCTTGTCGAAAACGAAGTTCGCTCTTTACAAAACAAAGAACTAATCTTTTCTTCCGCTCGCAGTCGACTCAGAGTTACGGAGAATTGATCTTAACTTGGCGCGCAATGTATTAAGGCCGCATGGCCTGTTTAGTAGTACATATAGGTGCATATGTGTGCGCGAGTGCGTGTCAAGATGAGCATGGTTTCTTTACTTAAAATGTTCGTGATGTTCTATCTTTTTATGTTGGTACGGGTAAAACACACACATACATGTGCATACAAATAAAGCGGGGAGTTCACTAGACTTCATTAGACTTGCCCACAGGCATGTTTGCAGGCGCGCATGCCGGACTTCGCTACTATAGGTCTGTGCCATAGAATACTATAATACATACATAATAGAACGGGGGAGTGGGCGGTGCCAGTGTAGCCATTAACATGTCACTAACATGTCAAACAAATGTCAACAAATCAATAGTTTTCCAATTTTCTCTTATTTAAAAAATGGCAAATTGTGCAATAATTACTTGTCGAAAGAACAGCGGGAAATGGAATTTAAATAAAGGAGACATATTCTACAACCAGTAAGTCGAAACTATTTATATTTTGTGAATATTAGAAATAAAAATAAAGAAACATTTATGTGTCAAAAACATTAATCAAAAGTCTAAAATGTGTGTGTAGCAGTGATAACTGATAACGCAACGTAATTGCTTGTGTGTGCGCTCCGGGCGACGCCGATCCTCCTACAAAGTAAGGTTGACAGCCATTCTATCGTGTATTATAGTGTTCTATGGTCTGTGCAAAGTTTGATAGTGTAAGGACCGTCGCAGGCGGTCTGGCAGATTTGCCTGTTGAACGTCCGCGCGATCTCAATTTGTCTGCGCGGACTCAGACATTTCTGAACGTGAATGTTAACTGCGGGCCGTTTCTTCTCAGACACAAGAGCGACAGCAACCAGTGCTGACGGCCTTTTATTATTATTTAACGATCTTAGGAGATTTTTAATTTACACTTAATGTGCACGTACAATTAATCACGCAGTCGGTCTTAAACAAACTGACGAGTCTGTGTAGTGTATTGCAGCGGCAGACATGTCCGTCTAGGGAATTCCCCGCTTGACACTACAATTAGCAACACTAGAGTGTATGCAACACATTTCTACGTGCATATTTACAATAGTGTTACGCATTACTTAAATCAAACATTAGAATCAATTATAAAAGTGGTTATATTCGTTCTCACTGAACCAGAGATATTTTTAACTCTCTAATATTTTTTACTTAAATATTAATTTATTTTCTTATAATTATAATTGTAATATCTCCAGCTATTTTAGTAGACAATGATATATTATATATTACATTTAATATTCACCATGTAGTGGCGGTGTAAGAATATTCACTACCCCATATCGTGCCGTGGGTGTCTTAAGAGGCGACAGTGGGGAACTGAAAAAGTATTGTCGCTCACCATAATTAATATCTGGTACATGGCTACTAGCACTGTTTAGTATCGAGTAGCAGAACTAGGAGCGTAAAGATCTTTCTAGAAAATTCCATACTAGAACTTTCTACACCTAGAGTCAGTCGGGACCGGTATGTACTCGAACATTCTAGATGTTTCAGTAGAAGAGGCCCTATATAAGGCCGGTAAGGACCGCAACCGAGTCAATATTGAATTGGCGATACAAGCGAATGCTTCGAAGCGATATAACTGCGATACGAAAATGATTATGTTTTATTATTAGTGTGTTATTAAGTTGCAATTGGTGTTCGGTAATTAAAGGGTCAATTTTGGTAATTCAATTGGCAGTTTTTATTGTCACGAACCTCAAGGTCGTAACCGGGACGTACTATTTGTTTGAGGATATTCTTACAGTTCCACCTCACGTTAAAATATTATATTACACGCATAAATAGCTATATAAATCAATAAACTAAATGGCTTAATCATGCATTTTGGAAATACAATAATAATTCTTTTTCATCAACGTTCATTCGATCCTTCACGAGATCCTGGTTCGGGTTGTTGACCTTAGACATGTGTCAATTGTTCATTTCGAGTGACCCAATCGTTCAGATCGATCATTTCTAGTAGCAGTAAGCTGTGATGCGTCGGACGTTACTATACTATTTGGTCTTAGGTTCTGCCAATCATTTGATCCGGAACGTTAAAAAATGCAAAATAATCAATACATTTACACGATCCGGGTCAAATAACCGAATCGTTCACGATTGACACGTGTCTGGTAGACCCAATAAGGAACAATGGCCAATTGTGACTAGGTAAAAACATAAATTGTTACTGACATGAAACTATCAACAAATGCTACTATTCATGCTACAACCACAATATAGCTACAGCGTGGCTCTTGACAACATATTATGTTTAATCAAGTTACGTTATATCAGATTTTACTAGTCCAAGCATTAGGAAAGTGGCCATTGTTCTTGTAATTGCATAAATTCAAAACTTTCTATAATTTCTTATTTAACAGACTTTGTCTATGGTATGATATACCTTAAATATAACTTATCTATAGTTATTAAATCTAAATCACCATAAGCAAACCGATCGCTAAATTAACACTTTCTAAATAACACATTTCATTCATCCTTAATTTCACCGAACCTAACCTCACAATCCGGCCTAAGCGTTTTGAAATTTGCTACCCCCTGAGCAGTAACACTTGTTCCTCTGAAGTCCAAAAACTGTAAATATGGTGCAGCGGTAGCCAAGTGCACCAAGCTCCTATCTGTGATATGTCTGTACCCTACCATAGACAATATTCGCAAACTGGAGCGATCCGGTCTTGAAAAGGACTCCCCGTTTCCTTGAATCGGTCCGTTGGGTCCAATATGTACGTAATTGATATCCTCGTCATCGGCGCGGCCAAACCTTCTCACTGAAGAGTCGGAAACGAGGGACGACGAGTCCAGATGAGTGGGTGTGGGACTGAAGACGTTCACTCTATCGGATACAAAGTTCATATACCTCGGATAGCTGTACATAATTTGACTCGGCTGTCCAAAATTTACGTATAGAACTCGGTGCACCGGCTCCCCTGGGGCTTCTTCTTGTTGCGGTGGCGGTTGGGGTTCAGGCATTTCATGGTATAATGGATTTCTGTGCCTACGGAAGCAAATGTATCCCCTGAGTGCTGGGGGGTTCGCAACTTCTCTGGACTCATTAGAGGTGCTAGCTTCATTATTAACGGCATTTTCACCATTCGAATAACCCTCTCCATTAGACTTTTCATCTGGATCTCCGTTCTCTTCTTTTGCCTCCGCTTTGACATTATTTTGGTCGTTTCCATCACCTTCACTCTCCATTTGTTCATTCTCTTTAGCATTCTCAGCCTCTCCGTTCTGGTTTTGCTTGTTCTCGTGTTCGTGAGTCACTGTCGTCCTAAAAACTGTCACACGAACCGAATTCCTATGAACTCTCCTCCCGTGCGAATCATCATCCGATTCATCCATGTCATTCATCCATTGGCTCCTCCCCTCTCCGTTGTCTGGAAACCTCTTTCGTTTGGAAGTAGACGGTTCGTTACCATTTATTGCGGAGCTATCCCCACTACCGTCTGCCGGTTTCCGCTTTAAGGAATTCTTTCCTACCACATCACTATCTTCTTTCATTTCACCTTTTGTGCCTTTCTGTGTTCTGTCACTGTAAGTAAATGTCAAGATTATATATGAGAACTGACTTTAAGCTGATATAAAGTATTAGTAATCTAAAGTGACAATGGGAAGGCCATATAGCTCGAATAAGCCACAACTGATGGGTTGTAAGCACACACAGAACAAGCATTTGTATGATTTACAAATTTTTTTTATATAGGATAGGGTGACAAACGAGCACACAGTCCACCTGATGGTATACATAGACATCTACATCTATCCTCGATTACGAATCAAAATGCAGATATGCGTTGTTACCCGTGAGCACTAAGTTGGAATGCCTCGTTTCCAGTAAAAAGGGTCTCCGGTTCTCTACACTCACCATACGAAACACAGCAACGTTTAGCTGCTATTTTACGCTGGTATTCTGTGAGAGCGTGGTCCTACCCCAGTCTAGCCTACCCATTCGTGCTACAACTATAATATAGCTGCAGCATGGCTCTACCACGTAAATTTATACTTTGTATTAGTATTTACATAGATTTTAATAAACTTTATTTTCACCGAAGCATTACTTTCTTAATCCTAGACACATAATTTTGCACACCACACTTTTCTCTTATCACACAATTTATTATCCTGTCATTCAGATCCAAACCTAGCATATTCTTTAAAGGCCGCATTTCTACAGCATTTATTTTACTTTCGTGCTTCTTCCCAACTTTCACTACCATACATTAAAGTAGGGACGGTGGTTTAGTCATGTAGAAATAATGAACGAGGAAATAGTGACAAAGAAAATTTATTTTGCAGAAATGAACGGTAGAGTCCGAAAGGGAGGCCCTAGACGAAAGTTTATCAACCAAATTGGCGATATATTGAAAGTGGGCCAAATTAGGAGTATCCTTCACCGACATGCATGTATGCATAGGTATATGGATGTATAAAAGGCGAGATAGGTGTGTCGGGATCTCTAGCCAAACGGAAGTCTGTAGTCTCTGCCTACCCCTCTGGGTGACAGGCGTGAGTGTTTATGTATAAATTTATTTTCATTGTTAGCACTATTATCATCGTTAAGTTCAACAATACTTAGTCCACATTTGTACTTTCAATCATTTCATTATATTGTAAAAAAGATACGCGTCGCTACTCTGGTGCAAGTGCACGTTATCGTCACGAGCATGTCGAGGTCATCGGTAGCACCGAACCCATAAGGTTTTCCCCTACCAACATCCGTTCAACGAGGCTAAAGACTTCAGGGTCGACTTTTTCAAATATTTGTGTCATATGGTTACGTCCGACCTCAAGGATACTACTGACATAGAAAGGGAACGTACAGTACCTGGCAATAAATATTGCACATCGACCTTCGGAAGGAGACTATCGGCTAATTTCGGCTTCGTAGAGCGTTATCTCTGTCGCACACTGACTTACGGATTGTTTGTATTTCGTGCGACAGAGATAACGCTGTACGAAGCCGAAACTAGCCCATTGTCTCTTTCCAAAGGTCGATGTACAATATTGATCGCCGGGTATTGTAGGGCTCTGTCGGTTCGTGCAAATATAACTGCTCGTAGGTTCGCGCGATGTTCAAGGGAGGGTTAAGCTCACTTTGTTTAGAGCGTTTTGTACATCTCTTTACACGTGCGGACTGTGGGGGGACTACACGTAACGGGCCTATGGAGCTCTCCGTATCCAGTATAACACAGTTTAAACGTGGTAGTCATGCTGCAGTTACATTAGTAGTATAGTTGTAGCACGAATGGATCGGCTCGACCGGGGAAGGACCACGCTCTCACAGAATACCAGCGTGAAATAGCAGCTTAATGCTGCTGTGTTTCGTATGGTGAGTGTAGAGAACCGGAGACCCTTATTACTGATAACGGGGCATTCCATCTTAGTCCTCACGGGTGACAACGCATCTGCATTTTGATTTGTAATCGAGGATAGATGTAGATGTCTATGGGCCACAGCAACCACTTACCATCAGGTGGACTGTGTGCTCGTTTGTCACCGTATCCTATATAAAAAAAATTGTAACTCATACAAATGCTTGTTCTATGTGTGCTTACAACCCATCAGTTGTGGCTTATGCGAGCGATGTTTACTCAAGCACATGTAGATTGTTTTACGCAACTTTACGCAAAAGAGCTGCATCGCTGATGCGTAGGGTAAGGGGCCAGCCCCAATGGCTTTGTTAAAATGCCAGAGTGAATTGTCCCTATCAGCAACAATGTTGTAGACTGCGTGTGCCCAGTAGCTAATTAACTGCTTGATATATGCATTATATAGCATTTAGTAAACATTAATACAATTTAAATGTATGTATCCCATCATATTTTGTAAGAATATTTAATTTTTAAATTTTAATTTTTTAATAATTATAATAAAAAAATTTAATGTAATAAATGAGTCCTGGATACTTGAAATTAAATATTAATTAAATAAAGAAATTTTCACTTCAAAAAACACAGTTCACACACTGTACACTGTATTTAATCTCATTTTCTCGCAGGCTAAATCCTATAGATGTATATTTTTGCCGCTTTTAATGTCGCTTTTTCGTTTTCGAAGTGTTTTCACTTTTAAAAGAATAAATACTTGATGAAGCAATCTCGTAGAACTTCTTATACTTATCTAAGTATCTATTATTATACAGGGTTATTTCGCAATAACCAGCCAAATTTACACAGAAGGTTCACAATAAGTAATATAGGCAAATGGTGAAGAAACATTAATTTAAAAAAAATCTCAAACATCTTTTAAATTCAAAATGCGTGGTAAGGCATTATTTCAATTGATTTTACTGCGCACGCACACATTCGTAAGGGTCGATCGGTAGGCAAGAACGTTGTTGTCCATAAATCACATTCAATTTGAGATAATTTCAAATAAAAGTATAAGCCTTATTTACTCGTATTTTCAAAAACTGCAATAACTGTTTATCATTATTTATATATTTGTACTTAAGTTTAAATTTAGGCTACTCTAAAAAATAGGTTTATATTTTTTTTTTATTTTATTAATTACAGAGAGTTATGAGTATTAGGACAGGATAAGAACTTATGTAGTACTGAAATGTTCGTTATATTTACCTATTCGACTGGCCTTCTTGGTTCTCGTTATGATTGGAGTCCATCTCAGTCTCCGCTTGTAGTTTGTGTTTGAAATATTCCGGCTCCTGAAACAGAAAACTATTACTTAATAACTTGTAAAGTTCACTTTTAGACTAATAAAATAAACTCGGATTTAAAAGATTGACACAGATTTATTCTACACAAGTTACTCACTTGGAGAATACAAAACGAATGCGCTAGTTTATAGAATGAACAAAGAATATATAAGTATCCTACACAGGAAGGAATGAATGAACTAATCCTAAGATCCGCTATAACAGTTCTCAAAGACAATTGGTCATAGCTAAATGCGGTATCGATATTTATATCGATACTTTGCCTTTTTAAACAATATCGATTTATATAATAAAAACTTATCATTACAGAGGGGTAAATAAAGAAATATAGCGATATAATCATCCTTAAAATAATATGTATGTTAACAAACTATAATTCAAAATGACGGTCATTTTTAATACACATCCAGTTAAGAGTTATTTGTAATTTAAAATGAAAAAACACTACTTTAAAGATATATGTTAAACATATGTATGTCGTAGGATAATTAGATAAATCGAATTTGCTGCAAAAAATCCAGGAATGTCGCGAAAACACGGATAATTAGAGGTTTAGTTGAACATGATTAAAACTACTTTTACGGATTTTATCGCGTTTATTTTTACTTTTTATTTTCAATTCCCGACGTTTCGGGCGCTTTCCAGCACCCATGGTCACGGGGGACTGAGATGACTGACGTCCCGATGTCATTGTTAAACCCGGAGTACCTTCAGTTTTTTTAATTATTGTTTATGGTCCGATCTATGCAAAATGAACTGACTATGTCCTGAGGTCTTGCAGTGGTATGCTTGGGTTTAGTTTTAATTTTATTGATTATAGGATCCCAAGCAGGTGGTAGTACCCAGCCTCCTTCTCTATTGAAATTAGGATGTTTTTTAATTTCAATAGCCTCACGTATCATCCTTGGTAGGAATCGGTGTTCTTTCGCGAGGATTTGTGGTCTATCAAATCTGATGTAATGGTTGGGGCCGTCTAGGATATGATCACAAACTGCAGACTTCCCGGAACGTTGATGCTTCACATCAGCTATATGTTCTTTTACGCGGGTCCTAATTGATCTTTTGGTTTGTCCTATATAAGAGAGACCACATTCACAATCAAGCTTGTACACTCCTGCATCTTGTAGAGGAATATGACACTTGACGGATGGTAGGAACTGACTAATCTTCTTCGGCGGCTTGTAGAATGTTCTAATAGAAGCTCGCTTCAAGATATAGCCAATCTTGTCTGTGACACCTCTGACATATGGTAGTACAGCAGGTACACGCTCGACTGTGGCCAGCTTCACTCGGTCACTGTGACGTAGGCGCGGGACCCGAAGCTTGTTGTCGTGCAGAACTTGCTTGACGTGCTGAAGCTCGGCGGCCAGGTGTTTGCTGTCACAGATCCCTCGTGCTCTCTGTAACAAAGATTTGCCCACGGTAGCTAACTGTGAAGGATGGTGGTGAGATTCATCATTTAAATATCGGTTTGTATGGGTCTTTTTCCTATACACAGTGTGACCAATGGTGTTATTAGGATTTCGGATGACTAACACATCTAGGAAAGATAATGAATTATTTGCCTCTAACTCCATAGTAAATTGAATTTTAGCGTTTATGGAATTAAGATGTTCTAAAAATGCAATTACTTTGTCTGATGGTAAAATTGTGAAAGTATCGTCTACGTACCGCTTATAGATCCTTGGTGTAACAGGTGCAGTAAGACTTTGAGGAGAAAGCCCTCCTTACTGCACCTGTTACTGGATACTGTAGATGTCTTTGGGTCATAGCATGCACTTATCGTCAGTTTAGACATGTGTCAATCATTCATTTCCAGCGACCGAATCAATCTAGTACATTTCGTCACGCGTACTGGTACATTAGGATCGATCATTCAAATTAACCATTTCAGGTTCCAGTACTCTTTGAGATCCATTGGTAACCGAAAATTTTAACATTTATTGGCTACAAAATTAAACATTTACCTATTAAGATAGTTGAAAATTATTATTAAATAAAACATTTATCATGAAACCTTTTGAAGTGTTATTTTTAGTAAACTCTACGAAATGATATTTTTAACTCATAAATTTACAAATAAATATAATAAAATGTAAAATAATATTTAATTTAGGTAACAATATTATAATAAAAAAACCTTTAAATAATAAATACTCCTGATCCTCTGCAGTTTCCGTATATATTCTCCGCTAGGAGTAATGGTGTTCTGTGTATCTATTACTCTACTCCATGCTCTGCAGTTTGCATTGTTAATTCAATTCGCCTGTTTATTCAGATCATTTGGGATTCGGTCGGTTTGCGGCTCATTCACAATTCAAACAAATCGCGGGTTAAAAAGGTACCGTCACTTATTTGTGATTGGTTGTACCGGTACATTCAAAAACAAATTAGTGAACCGTCAATACTTTTAAGTGTACCAGCTCAAACGAACGAATCATGCATGATTGACTCATGTCTACGTCAGTTGGACGGTGAGCTCGTTTGTCATTCTTAATCCGAAAAAAAAACTAAATAATTGTAATTCGAAATGGCGTTAGCTCGAGCGCGCGAGTGACAACATCAATGAATTAGGACCTTGCGCAGCGTAGGTGTATTTTCATGCCTAAAGCGTAAAAGTAAGACAGGCCTGGTATAAGCTACGCAACCCTCGTCGACACACTTCCAATCTTTACAACGTTGTTAACAAGAGACTTGTGAACGATAAATCCGACACCTCCTTGGGACAAATGGTCGCCCTCCCGGTGATAGAACAAGTTTCCGGATTCGAGGATCACCGTGTCTTCCCCCTCTCTTCGGACCTTGGATAATCCTATAATATGCCAACGCAACTTGTCTATCTCTTCTTCCAGCTCCAGTATCTTCTCTTCAGTCCTCAGGGTGCGTGCGTTGTATGTTGCCAGGTTTTAGGTAGCAACCGAACCTCTACCGGAAATTCTTAACATCCCCTGCCCCGCCGTTATCATGATCGCCATCGTAGCCAGGAATAGCGGGCCACCAGGGACCAGGGGTCTTCGTAACTCTCATCATGGGTAGTATATTGCCATAGTTGCCACGCTTGGCGAGCGGGTTGGCAACCGCAGTTTTTTGTTGTTGTACAGTTGTTGTTATCAGGAAGATGCTGCTGCCCATCTCCTGCCTGTCTCCCTCTGTCGCCTCTTACGACACCCACGGGAAGATATGGGGTAGGGGATATTTTTAACCACTACTACACGACTTGTGCTCATTGTGTACGTTGTAAATTCTGACGCGAGTAAATATCGACTAGCCGCACCGCCTAAGTTTTCACAAGGCAAGACATAAAATCTCACCATTGCTAGGTAGCCAGGTGTTCGACATTAGATTATTGGTACATGTTTACGATAACTATCAACGGGCTGCCGATACACACGCGGAAACATAACAACACGACGTAACTAATCACAGGTGACTAAAATGAGAGCTCGGGTGGCATTGCCCTTGCGCCCGTGACCCTGCGAAAGGGCATGAACAAGGACAGAGGCCTAAGGAAATTCAATATATGGAGTATAAATTTATACTATCATAATCTCGCAGGGAAATAACATTTTGTTCAAGTTAGAAAGTTAATAATTTAAGATACCGCATATTTAGAGGTTCAGCAGAAGAGAATGGCAATTTTTTTCCGTCTCATTGCAGATTTCAACTTAGTGTGGTCCGAGTTATCGAGATTCCACTGTATATAAAAGTGACCAATCGACCTTTTCATTGGCTAAATGGACTTAGTATTGAATACAAAAATTATTCCATTCCACGCAGAACTTTTTGGAGAACTCTATATATAGAGTTCACCAAAAAGTTATTTCTTATAAGAATAAGCAAAATTGAATCTGCTTTCTCTAGAAAATGTAAAATTATTGTTATTTTAATGTTTCAGACCTACAATAACGGGAGATTGTCGGTTTACATATCGCAATTGTGTAGTAAAGACAGATGGAAAGATCTATATGTTTCATTATCCTGTCCTTGATAAAGTACTACACATTCGCCAGTACAGTGTGTTACAAATTCATTGTTTTATTGCCCACCATATTTTAATTTCGAGTTTCTAATTGATTTATTTATTTTGTTCAAAATTTTTGTTTTTTATATTTAGTATACTATGAAGTAAATAAAAGTTTGAGGTTTTAACAGCTGTCACATAAAGTCTGTACACTTATTTTTCTTTCCACACCATAGTACAAAACCATTAAAAATCGTGACTAATCATAAATTAATTAATTATAAAAAAAGAAATTGGTTATTTTAAACATTCATAAACCACATGACGAATGAGCAAGTTTTTCGTAGTCTGAAACGTAACGTGTAAAACACGTTCTTAATATACTTTTGGCATGACTTCGTGTCTTTGAGCGATTGTAAAACACGTTCCGTCTCCAAAAGTCAATTGAAAGTGATAAACAAAGTAACATTACTTTTTTTTCCTTGCTTTACGAGATTTGAAAATTCAATTATGCTATACGAAATAAGAAAAACATATGCAATTTTATAAGATATTTTACATCACTAGATGAATTAGAAAATTTTCAGGTCAAAACTGGACATGATTCTTTGGCACATATACTCGTTTTTCGACACAGACACCCACTAAGAAAGGATTTTGAAAAATTCAACCCGTGAGGGGGTGAAATAGGATATTACAGCTTGTATTAATTCGAATAATATATACGAGTAAGAATTCCACAGGCGATCGTTATCAGTTGAGTTATGTTATGTTATTATTTAGTATGAATCGTGTACGCACCTGCAGCTCCCAAGCGGCAAGAGTATCATTAGGCGTGGGGGCGGGGGCGGTGCGGTGGTGGGAGTGCTCGGCGGTGGGGCTGGATGAGAGGCAGGGGGAGGGGGTGGGAGAGGGTGAGGGACAGGGGCAGGGGGCGGCGGCCAGGCGCAGCGTGCGCAGCGCGGGCAGCCAGCCCAGCGCCGACACCTCGGAGTCGGCCACGGGGCAGCCGCACAGCTCCAGCTCCTGGGGCACCACCACAGATTTATTTTTCTTATAAGTGCCTCGTTGGTCTAGTGGTTGTAGTAGTACGACTGCTGATCATGAGGTCCTGGGTTCGAATCCCGGGTCGGGCCAAAAAATTAATTATTGAGTTTTTCCGTCAAGAAATTCTCAGTAGCTGCCCGGAGTCAGGAAGTAGGCAATATCTCACCCCCGTGCCTCGGAAAGCACTTAAAGCCGTTGGTCCTGCGCCTGATCTCTCTCCGGTCGTGTCGGTTTACCGTCCCATCGGATTATGAAGAGTGAGGGAATTGAGAGTGTACCTGTGTTTGCGCATACACTTGGGCACTATAATCCTGTCTTGCGTCGATGGCTAGTCTCCGTTGAAGCAGGCCGCCGTGGCCGAAACTCCGTCTGGAGGACATTATTATTATTATTATTTTCCTTATATTATTTAATCTCATCCAATCGTCTCCTTGATTGGTTGTACACCATCATTTCTTATTAAAACTGCTTAGCGATAGCTAAACGTGAGGTCTCGGTTCAATCCAAAATAAGTTATATTGTTTTTCTGTCAAGAAACTCTTAGTAACAACCTCATCATCATTATCATCACAGACCTTCCCAAGTCCACTGCTGAGCATAGGACTCCCCAAGTAATGCCACAAAGCACGGTCCTGAGCCACCTGCATCCATCGACTTCCTGCATATCTTACCAGGTCGTCACTCCATCTAGTGGGGGGTCGCCCTACACTACGCCTACCGGCACGAGGCTGCCACTCGAGAACCTTTCTTATAACAAATGTACAACCTATACAACAGTAACGACCTGGAGTCAAGAAATTGGCTATATTTTGCCCCTGTGCCCCATGTAGAAAAGGAGTGGAAAAAGTTACCAGCATCCATCTTTCCATCGGATTATAACGTGCGTGTGTTCAAGGCAAGAGTGAATAGGCCTTTGCTAAGCTAAGTCAGTGAGCTTTATCATCTTTAGCTGCGTTACCACTTACCATCAGGTGGGGACAATGCAAAATTATTTTGTTCGTAAAGTTAGTCATAAATCATAGCTCGGCCTCAGCCCGGCTAGGGCGGTGAGCATGTCGTTGTGTCGCCATTATCGAAAATCGAAGGCAGGCGGTGCGGTATACAAAGGCTGGTACGACATTGTTATGTTATGAGTCATTTGTTTTCCATTATCACCTCCATCTATATTTAATGTAAATAGTTTTAGATTTAATTATTATCTTTATATTTATATTTATTTTTAATATAACTTGGTACATTCCAAACATTTGTACTTATAGTTTTTTTAATACATAGATACCTAATTAATAATTTATTTTAAATCATTATTATTCTTATTTTAATAACTACGTTGTTTTATCTTTTTTTTAATTTTTATCACTAACCCACATAATGACAAAACTAAATACTTTATCGATAACACTTATCGACAACAATGATGCGTCACTATGCTCGCCCTTAAGGCCCGTGAGTGGGAGAGAGAGCGAAATACTCCGATGATTACCCAAACTGCACGGACAAAATAATTCTAGTATAATAATGGTAAAAAATACATATCACATGCCTTCCCCCACCTACCCAGGTTTTTGTTAAGGTAAGTCAATGCGCTACCTACTTTTACTGCAAGAGTACTAGGTTGTTTTCAAGTTTTGAGAAATATGTGACAAGATGTGTTGTGATCTCCTATATAGTGCCCAGCCGAGTTAAATAATTAATCATCATTATTACAGTCCATCACAAATTCACCGCTGAACATGGGAACAGAACAGGCTGAACACAAGCCTCCCCCAAGGAATACCATAAAGCACAGTCCTTAACCATTTGCATCCCTCCGGTATCACCAGTACAAGGTTGCCACTACTTGAGTGACAACCTCGTACTGGTGGTACCTTCAGCTGTCGATTCTTAAAGCCATATGGTGCCGAGTTAGATGATTCGTCATCATCATCATTACAACCCATCACAAATCCACTGTTGAACTTAGACCTTTCCCAAGCAATGCCACAAAACACGGCACTGGGCCACCTGCATCCATCGACTCCCTGCATTACTTACCAGCTCGTCACTCCACCTAGTCGAGGGACGTCCTACACTTCGCCTTCGCCTTCGCCTTCGCCTTCTTTCGTCGTCATTGATTATCAAGTTTCTGCTGTATCTTCCTCACCAGCCCATAAGTTTTATTTTTATTTTTAAAAAGAATATTAACAATGCTATAAACATTACTAATATTCCCCTTAACCACTCGTGATAAGCTTAAATTGCTTGTGTTACGAGAGGTTCACGCCAGTAGTCGAATGGCGGATTCGAACCCACGACCTTTTTGAGTTCGCGGTCCACGCCCTGCCATTAGGCTACTGTCGCTTTATATATAAGTTCACAATCTGATATGAGCCTTTCCCGCTTTAGGAAGAATTTGCCTAAGCCCAGCTTGCGTTAACACATGTAACAAAAGTAAATTCCATTGAAAGTAATCATACCACGAGCTCCCTGAAGCCGTATCTGGAAGCGAGGGAAGCGTACGCCACAAATTCTGACAGACGAGAGCAGTTGTTCGCGAACAACTGTCGCAGAATCCGAAGCTTGCTTAACGGCAGGAGCGATGACGGCTCCAACCACTCGCATTCGCTTACATCCACCGTCTAGAATTAAATGTACAAAATTCATTATAATATTATATTTCTGTTATATTCTCGTCCGGTTGGAAAGCATAAATAATTATAAAAATATGTAACCTGTGAATATGTGATAGAACCACGCTGCAGCTTTATTAAGATTTTAGCACGAATGGGTCGACTCGACCGGGGAAGGACCATGCTCTCACAGAATACCAGCGTAAAATAGCAGCTTAATGCTGCTGTGTTTCGTATGGTGAGTGTAGAGATCCGGAGACCCATTTTACTGGGATCAAGGCATTCCATGTTTAATCCTCAGGGGTGACAACAGATTTTGATTCTTTATTGAGGTTAAATGTAGATGTCTATGGACCACAGCATCCACTTACCATCAGGTGGACTGTGTGCTCGTTTGTCACCCTTATTCTATATTTTTAAAAAAACCTTTGACATTATTTGTAAGGTATTTGTTACACAAGTACATAATATATTTATGATTTTATATCATATTTATTTCGTAAGAAATAATATAGATGAAAATTGATTCTAAAATTTTTATTTCATCACAGGCAGTATAAAGTTCGTAGAGAATATACGATTTTGATACCGGCAATGTACAATTAGCGCAGTAGAGTATTGCTGACAGTCATGATGTTAGGATGCGTTGCTAGTGGTACAGGAGGGCTAGTGAGCTCGTTTGTCAACCAATGCTATAAAAAAATAGGTTTTTTTATTAACTGGCTTTTCAGCTCTGGGTTCTAGCCCTTCTGAGCCTATATAAAAAAATATTTATTAGTGTAGTGACGGTTTAAGAACATCCACTAACCTATATCGTCCCGTGGGTGTCGCAAGAGGCAACAGAGGGTAAAAAATCATGAGATGGACATCAGCATCTTCCTCATAGCTCCTCAAAATAGTAAAAACTGCGGTTGCCAACTCCCTTGCCAAGCGTGGCAACTATGACTAAAACAGAGCCACGCGGCATGTAGATGTTTCTTAAATTTATCTAAAAACCCACCAACAATAATGTCTATTGGCTAAATACTCAAACGCTACTCAATTTTAAGATGCCGTTAAGTCTCGTGCTGTCTCTGTCACTTTAAATCGAAGTGACCGTGACACCACGAGACTTAACATCTCAAAATTGATCGTTATATTAGTATTAGCCAATAGACATTTACTCGTGGCTCCGCTCGCGTAAAATAAAAACGTAACAATTTATAATTGCATTATGGAAGTGAAAAAAACTGTAATTAGGGATAGACGAAAAACTTATACAAAAAATATAGCCTAAGTCCTATTTTAGTTTGTTAACTATAATAATGCGAATTATACTGATATATACTGTATTAATTAAAATCCGTTTAGTAGTTTTTAAGTGATTGAATCACAAACAGCTTATAGCAGCTTAATACTGCTGTGTTTCATATGGTGACTGTAGAGATCCGGAGACATTTTTTTACTGGAAACGAGGCATTCCATCGTAGTCCTCAGGTGTGGTCCTTAATCGAGGATAAATGTAGATGTCCATGGGCCTCAGCATCCACTTACCATCAGGTGGACTGTGTGCTCGTTTGTCACCCTTATTCTATAAAAAAGAACATAGTTTATATGGATATGATACACACATATTAAACCTGCATAGAGTAGAATATATATAGAACCATTTAACAGTGGTAGAGCCACGCGGCAGCTTTGCTGTCGCACGTATGGGCCGGCTCAAACCGGGGTGGTACCACGACCTCACAGAATACCGGCGTGAAGTGGAAGCTCTGCTTCCGCGTTTCGTCTGGTGAGTGCAGGTGGCCGGAGGCCCAAATCCCCCCCCCCCCATCAACATGGTAGCGGAATTAAATGATAGACTACGCCAGGAGGGTACCAGCACCCCTGGAGAATCCCTCGCTGAGCATCCACGACCATGTTTCTCCACTTCTGAGCGTGGGTGCTCAGGCTGCCCCGCGTATTCTGGGGGGGGGGGGGGGCAAAATTCCGCTCAAGACTAAAACTGCTCGGGGCAAACGGAGCAACAAGACCAAGGCGACCCCTGCCACGCTGTCCGTGAATTTCTGCAATATCAGGGGACTTCACTCTAACCTAAACGCCGTACACTACCATCTCGAGACGGCGAGGCCGGCTCTGCTCTTTCTGACCGAGACGCAGGTGTCCTCTCCGGCTGATGTCTCGTATCTCTCCTGCCCGGGGTACAAACTGGAACACTCCTTTGTGCCTCGGGCTGGAGTTTGCGTTTATGTCAGAGAGGACATCTGTTCTCGACGCATCGGCAGACTTGAAGGTTCGGACCTGTCCATCCTTTGGCTACGCGTAGACAGCGACGACCATTCGCGCGTCTACGGGTGTCTCTATAGGTCCCATAGCGGTAATGCCGAAACAGACCGACTCTTCGACCACGTCCAAATGGCTGCAGATTCGTTGCTACAGCAGATCCCCTCCGCAGAGATCGTGATCCTCGGCGACTTTAACGCCCATCACGCCGAATGGCTCGGTTCACGTTTAACCGATCATGCGGGGAGATCTGTTCATGATTTTGCCTTGGCATATGGTCTGACACAACTGGTTACTTCGCCTACGCGGATTCCAGATGTGGAGGATCACGCACCTTCCCTGTTGGACCTTCTGCTGACCTCTCACCCGGACGGATATCAGATTTCCGTCGACACCGCTTTAGGCTCCTCGGACCATTGTCTTTTCCGGAGTGTGGTGCCACTCACGCTGAAATCGCGGTTGCATTCTACAGGCTGCCGCCGTGTTTGGCACTATAGGTCAGCCGATTGGGATGGGATGCGGTCTTTCTTTGCATCCTACCCTTGGGAGCGGGTTTGCTTCTCGCCGGACGATCCCAACGTTGTTGCGGATTCTGTCGCTGATGCGGTACTTCAGGGTATGGAACTTTTTATTCCTTCCTCTGTGGTGCCCATTGGAGGCAAATCTCAGCCATGGTTTGGTCGCTCCTGTAAAATAGCAGCATGCTATAAGCAGGAGTGCTACCGAGCCTGGGCTGACGCATCAGCGTCCAGGGATGTAAACACCAGCGCTCTAAAAAAGAAGTATTATTCCGCCTCTAGGTCCTTCAAAAGAGTCATTGCCAAGGCAAAGTCGGAGCACATAGGCAGAATTGGCGAGAGACTAGTTCGTCTTCCTTCTGGAACCCGTGCATTCTGGTCTCTCGCCAAGGCTGTCCAGGGGAATTTCTGTCAGCCATCTCTTCCATCTCTGCACAGGGAGGACGACTCACTGGCCCACACCGCAAAGGAGAAAGCCGATCTTCTAGGCTCTTTCTTTGCGTCTAACTCGACTCTCGATGACGGGGGGAGTACGCCGCCGACCATCCCGCGGTGTGAGTGCTCCATGCCGGAAGTGCAGTTCACTCAGCGCTCGGTTCGCAAAGCACTCCTCTCCCTGGACATCCATAAGTCGAGTGGACCTGACGGAATCCCCCCAATTGTGCTGAGGACGTGTGCTCCAGAGTTGGCACCGGTTTTAACGCGTCTTTTCCGGTACTCGTACTCCCTAGGCGTAGTCCCACAATCATGGAAGACGGCTTTCGTCCACCCGTATCCTAAAAAAGGCGACCGCTCAGACCCGTCCAACTACCGGCCTATCGCTATCACCTCCTTGTTCTCCAAAACAATGGAGTCCATTGTAAACTGCCAGCTCATGAGGTACCTTGAGGATCACCAGCTGATTAAGTGACCGCCAATACGGTTTTCGCCGTGGTAGGTCAGCTGGTGATCTTCTGGTCTACCTAACTCACAGATGGGCGGAGGCAGTAGAGTCCAAGGAGGAGGCATTGGCCGTTAGTTTGGACATTGCGAAGGCCTTCGATCGGGTTTGGCACAAAGCGCTTCTTTCGAAGCTCCCTTCCTATGGGCTACCCGAGAAATTGTGCGATTGGATCACCAGTTTTCTTGCAGATCGGAGCATCAAGGTCGTTGTAGACGGTGCAAGCTCCGATTGCAAGCTTATTAATGCTGGTGTTCCACAGGACTGCGTGCTATCGCCAACGCTGTTTCTTCTGCTTATCAATGATATGTTGCAAACCCGTAGCATTCATTGCTATGCAGATGACAGCACTGGTGATGCTCTTTACACCGGCCGAGCCAATATTTCTCGGGAAAACGTCTCTGAGTGCCGGGACAAACTTGTGTCTGAAGTCGAGTCTCTGCTGGACAGAGTCTCGGATTGGGGGCGACTAAATCTAGTCCAGTTTAACCCCCAGAAGACACAAGTTTGCGCGTTAACCGCTAAAAAGAACCCCTTTGTCGTATCCCCTCAGTTTCAAGGCACTCCCCTTGTTGCCCCAGCCAGTATCGGAATCCTCGGCGTCGACATATCGAGTGACGTGCAGTTTCGTGGTCACTTGGAAGGGAAGGCCAAATTGGCCTCTAAAAAGCTTGGCGTGCTCAGCAGAGCGGGACATTATTTCATGCCGGCACACTGCCTGCAACTTTACAAGGCGCAGGTTCGGCCGCACATGGAATACTGTTCCTATCTCTGGGCTGGAGCTCCCCAGTACCAGCTCCTTCCACTTGACCGCATCCAGCGCAGAGCGGCTCGAATCGTCGACGACCGAGTGCTTTCCGATCGGCTCGATTCACTGGCGCTGCGAAGAGATGTTGCATCTCTTTGCGTATTTTATCGCATCTATCACGGGGAGTGCTCTGAGGAATTGTTCGGATTAATCCCAGCCGCCAAATTTCGTGAACGCACTACACGGCAAACGTCCCGATACCATCCACACCATCTGGATGCTTGGCGGTCCACCACTGTACGTTTCAAAAGGAGTTTTCTTCCGCGTACAACCTCTCTGTGGAATAATTTACCACCGGTGATTTTTCCGGACCGATACGACCTGGGGACCTTCAAGAAAAGAGCTTACTCCTTTCTAAAGGACCGGCAACGCACCTGCAATTCCCCTGGTGTTGCGGTTGATCATGGGCGGCGGTAGTCACTTAACATCAGGTGAGCCACATGCTCGTTTGCCCCCTCTTCTATAAAAAAAAAATAGAGATGAAATTAAAAAACCTTAGAAAATTGCGACATAAATGTCTTTGTAATAGCTACATCTACTTAATTCCATAGATAATCACTTTATCGAACAAAACTTGATTGACTCTCAAGACGGTACGTAAAATAGACGATAGATGGCCTAAACACGACTAATTTAATAAAAATCGGTAAGTTACGAAATCGTGGATTGTTATGAATGGATTGGTAACGATAGTTTTATTCAATATGGTTCATTTTACTTAATTTATAAATTTGTTAATTTTTTAACGTTATAGTAACCATCTTTAAAACACCGCATAAATAGGAGGCCGAGATAATAAACACTGTATACTGCATTCTATATACTGTATTTAAAAAAAAACGATTAATTAAGAAAATATTCGATACCTCAAGATCAGGCACGTAGTCCTGGATTTTGAACAGGAAAGACTTGTCCATGGGTAGGTTGAAGCATTTCGATCCGCGGAGGGAGAGTGTCTTCAAAGTCGGTGGAAACAGATTGACACCCGTCTGAAAAAAATGCCTATACAAATCGTTGTACCTCAGATAGATAGATAGAGCGCTAACCGCTCGCTGTAAATTTCACAGTACGCGAGCAAACCGGGTTCGATCCCCGCCGAACCCGAGCCGAGCCCGACGTTTGTTTATTTATTTATTGTTTATTATAAGAGAAGAGTACAATTTAGAGGAAGTAGATGGATGGAGGTGGTTCAGGACCGTGCTTTGTGACCTTCTTTGGGGGAGGCCTAACTTGTAAAGGGCTGTAATGATGATGATGAAATACATAAATAAATATAGATATATCTAAACGATATCTAATACGATAAAATAATGAAATGAGAAGAGTACAAAAAAAAGGTAAAGTAACATAGAACTATTAGGCTTAGAATGCATATATATATATATATATATATATATATATATATATATATATATATATATATATATATATATATATATAATTTAAATAAAGCATTAGTTAAAAAATATAAGTAAATTTACATTTTTCTCTTTGCAAATAATTAATAAATAATTCTAAACGCAACCTAAATATTAATTCTATGACTATGTCTACTATTACAACTTCCCTGTTTTTTGGGGAAAACGTCATTTACTTGCAAATATTACTCAATTGCTTGTGTGCGTGTGGGCAAACGTAATTATAGGCCGCTTATGCACACATTCATTGCCGTTGTTGCTTCAACTTTGAACGGAATTTTGAATGATACTGTATCTCTAAGTCTAATTACTCTATGTAATGAAGATTAACACTATGGTCTTCTGCCTGTATATACCGTTTATTTCCTTTTAGCGCGACTCATAAATTCCATAGCCAAACTAATTGGAATATTAATTTTAGTCATAAAAATACTTAAGTATCTTATTTAGAGACTTGGGGAATTTATTAATCCCTCCATGGTCTAATGGAGGCGGCGGAAAAATCCACCACCCCTATCATCTCGTGGTTGTCGTAAGAGACGGCAGAGGGAAACACGAGATGAGGTAACAATACGGTTGCCAAGCATGGCAACTGTGGCAAATTCCCCTATGAAGCAATCTATAGGGGAGGCTTATGTTCAGCAGTGATTTTTGGTGGACTGTTATGATCATGATGATGATGATGATAATGATGGTGGTGGTGGTCCAGATGATACACGATTTTCTATATTGAATCAACCATTCATTTCGATTTTCTATATTGAATCAACCATTCATGGTAGGTCTCAGTGTTTCAGCTTCGAGCGAAGAGTTTTAATTATAACCTGTTTAGATTTTTTATAAAGAATAAGAATGACAAACGAGCACACAGTCCACCTGATAGTAAGTGGATGCTTTGGCCCATATACATCTACATCTATCCTCGATTAAGAATCAAAACGCAGATGCATTGTCACCTCTGAGGACTAAGATGGAATGCCTCGTTTCCAATAAAAAAGGGTCTCCGGATCTCTACACTCACCATACGAAGCACAGCAGTATTAAGCAGTAATTTTATGCTGGTATTCTGTGAGAGCGTGCTCCTTCCCCGGTCGAGCCGACCCATTCAAGCTACAACCATAATATAGCTGCAGTGTGACTCTACCACGTGTAAAACTAAATATTAATTGCTGTACATACCTCTTATTACACCTACCTCTTTTATCTCTGCACTACTCTAAGGTAGACTGGTAGATAATTCCTCAGGCATTAAGTCCGCCTATATACATCTAATGTGTATATGAAGTTAAATAAATAAATAAAACCGAGTAAGAATAAAATAGACTTTCTTTTACTCGTGGCGGCGCTGTCGTCAAAAGTGTGTGCAAAGAAACCTAAATCACGCTATCAAAGTTCCGAAATACTGCGCTATATATATAGAATATCTCTAAACTATCATATGTAGCATTGACCGCTCCCCGAGCTGAACACCTTGTGGAGATCTCCCCTTTTCCTTACCACTACCAAATATTCAATACAGACCTTCTCTTCTGTATTAAATAAAGAAGATTTATAAATAATTCTTATCCTATTGAAAGTCGTTTTTACTTTTACCGCTGATACGCAATAAAACCTCTGTCCTGGGAAGTACAGCAAAAAATCCAACGAGATTTTTGTATTTATCTGCTATATATATATATATATATATATATATATATATATATATATATATGTGTAAGTTTTATCATATATATGTGTGTATATATGTATTTTATCTTTTATTATGTAGTATTAGTAATTTATATTATTTCTTATATGTGTTATTATTTTATATTGTCATAATATTTCGCATGTATCCTGATATTGATATTGTATTGTATTGTATATATATATATATATATATATATATTGCAACACCTACCGTGTATTCATTGTTTTATTCCTTTACACCTTGGTTGCCTAGAAGAGATCGCTATGTAGCGATATGGCCGCCAAATTTTACATATAATCTGCATTTTGTTAAGTTAGTTGTAAATTTTTTTTGAGGTGTACAATAAAGTATATATTAATTTATTCATTATACATTAAAAAAAGTGTTAAAGGGTCTACCAATAAAATATGTCACTTACCGTTTTACAGTTTATATTGCAGTATTCCAAAGCGAGTGACGTCAGATTGGGACACTTGGCCTGAAGCTGCGAGAGGAGAGTCGAGGTCAGGGTGAACTGTGGCCCGCAGCAGACTCCGTTAGCAGACTTATGCACATCCTCGGCCCTTATTTCCTCCTCTTCATCACCTACTTCTTCTGGCCAGCATGGGGAACCACTGAATCTTGAAGATATATTTTCCATATTAACACAGACCCGCATTGAAGCCTTTGGGATTGTGATCGCTACTAAGTTGTTCCTAAAAATTTTTTTAGGTTTAGATAGACCTCAATGAAACATGAATGATGATCTTTATTTTCCAGTAGATGATAGGACTTGGCAGAGATATGGTAGAGGCATGTTGCAGCAGTAATACGGTTGTAATGATCAGATCTCTCTCCAGTCATGTCGGTTTACCATCCCGTCTGATTATGGGAGTGGGGGATAAAGAGTACTCCTGGGCACTATAATCCTGTCCTGCGCCGATGGTTAGGCTCCGTTGAAGCAGGCCACCGTGATCGGAATTCGGTCTGGAGGATATTATTATGGTTGTAACATAAATGGGTCGCCTCGACCGAGAATGGACCGTATGGTAAGTGTATTGAACCGGAGACCTTTTTACTGGAAATGAGGCATTCCATCTTAATCCTCAGGGGTGACAACGCATCTGCATTTTGATTCTTAATCGAGGATAAATGTAGATGTCTACGGACCACATCATCCACTTACCATCAGGTGGGACCCCTGAGGGCTAAGATGGAATGCCTCGGTTTCCAGTAAAAAAAGGGTCTCCAGATCTCTACACTTACCATATGAAACACAGCAGGATTAAGCTGCTATTTTACCCTGGTATTCTGTGAGACAGATCATAAATAATAATGAAAGTGACTCTTATGTTTAAAAACCACTGATCTGAAAAATGCCTCTGTCCTGAGCAGAACGAGCAAGAAATGCAGAGGGACCTTTTTTCATAAAAAAAAGAACAGTTTACAATCATTGAAGTTACACAATAATTAACAACACAAAGCAAATTAGAAACAGCTTGGTAACAATCACCTCATTACCCAGGAGTTATTATCATCCATAAATTCCTTAATATTATAATACAGTGGACCTCCAGTAATCCGGGTTCTGGCTATACCGGGAGGTATCCGGCCTCCTCTTGTAATCCGACATGCCTTTGACATATAGGTACAATCGAGTCACATTATGAATCCATCACGGGGGAGCAGTCCGTAACGAATACGTGGACAAACAAGTTGCAATTAGTTCTCGGCACCACAAATAATCTTGAGGCATACATTCTCAGGTAACTAGGGTAACGAGCACACAGTCCACCTGACGGTAAGTGGCCGCTGTGGCCTATACACATAAAATCTACATTTATTCTCAATTAAGAATCAAAATGCAGATGTGTTGTCACTACTGAGGACTAAGGTGAAAAGCTTCGCAACCAGTAAAAAAAGGTCTCCGGTTCTCTACACTCATCATACGAAACACAGCAGCATTAACCTTAGGAAGGCAACAGGGGTGACCCGTCACCCCACTACTCCAAAAAAGTTTAAATAATTTATTGGTATTGTCTTTGTCTCTTTCTAATCCTCGATCTATTCTCCAATTGGAGTGAATGCAATCAGTTACATACGTCAACGTGTCACAGTAAGTTGTTATTTCTGTTATATTGACATTGGTGGGGGTGACTCGTCACCCCTGTTGCTTCTTACGAAAGTTTAATTTTTTTGTGATACTGATATTAATATTTGGTGTCCGAGGTGAAAATGGCTTCGATTTCAGATGAACAGTATCGAAACTATTTGCAAATTTACCTTTAACAAAATAGTGTATATGTTTAGTTCGGCTAGCAATACCAGACGTAGGTCGCTTCGATAATTCTATGGTATGCTGGATCAGGCTGATGTCAATTCTATGTTGCTTTATATTGACCCTAAACATTAGAATACTCCTGCCAACATCTTCCGAAGCAGTTCTTCAAATAAAATAGGTTTACGATTGGCGTAACCGCACATGAGGGATCGTTTGAGTACAAATTTGCAGCGAGAATTAAGAGTCACTTTATGTGATATTCGAAATATAATATGCAAAGTGGCAGAAACAAGCAAGATGTGCACGGTATCCAAGAAAGCGGGACAAAAAATTAAACTTTTTTTGGCAAAAAATACCTTCAGCCCTCTTACTCTTAACATCGCGAAGATGTTTGCTTGAAATGCATTTAATGCAAAAAAAAAACCAAATTATCGGTGCTGTAATAAAAACTATTTTCACATTCCTAATTATATTAGCGATTGATCTCGTAACAAATAACTTTGGTTCTCTCAAACATTGCAGTAGAAATAAACGAAAAAAACGACCGAACACCCCCCTCCGGAGCCTTTAATTTGAATTTAAAACATATGGGGTGATACATCACCCCTGTTGCCATTTGTGTATGCAAAAAAGTGGTGCCTGCCGAAGGTTAAGCTATTCACGCTGGTATTCTGTGAGAGCGTGGTCCTTTTCCAATCGAGCCAACCAATTCGTGCTACAACCATAATATAGCTTCAGCGTGGCTCAACCACGTAAAAGACTTCTCCTTACCTTGGCAGCTGGTTAGCACTTATATGGAATCGGGCACGATGGGGTCTTCGACGACAGGCTGGAACGAAAATATACGATAAGTAAGACAATTTTACGCAAAAAGGAGCAACCCACGAAAAATTAACATTGTTCCAAATTTCGCAAAACCAGAAAGATTGCTAATGACGCATAGTTCGTTTCATCATCATCATTACTGCCCCTCACAAGTCCACGCCTTCCCCAAAGAATGCATAGTTCATTTACGCATAACATAATAGTCGATTTCGTTGACACAACTGTATTTAAAAATGCATTTGTTTTGTATTTAGGATTTTCCAACCCCAATATAAGTTATTTGTCATCTAATCAGCAACAACAGAAGTCACACTAATTTTACCTTAATTTGAATTACGCGTACAACTGAAAACATGTCTCAACTCAAAACGCTTTGTTTATTTTTTGTAGTAAATAAAGGGTTTTGAGTCGATAGTATTCAGTGCTATTATTTTCCCCATATCACGAAGTCAAAATTATGTTACAACACGTCTATTACCTAACTAAACATTTCTTTGAAAAAATGACACGTTGATACATAAAGGTTCGCTACCCCTGCCATAGGGCATTAAGTTCGCCCTTTGAAACCTCTAGTTGAAGGTGTGTTGCAATAAACGATTAATAAATAACATAGGCCTCTAGAATATTTGCCGTAGTTGCCATGCTTGGCAAGCGAGTTGGCAACCGCAGTTGCTAATAATTTTGAGTTGTTATCAGGAAGCTGCTGCCCCTCCCAGTTTCAGTTTCCCTCTGTCGCCCCTTACGACACCCACGGGACGATATGAGGTATACTATGTGCCAAATCGACAATGACCTGATATGAGCCGGTGTCAAAAGGCGTAACTTACAAAATCTCAATTTAAATGTGATAACAATATTTAAATATTGATATTATTCATACTTCTAGGTCAGCACATATGTTTTGTTTCGTTGTTTCTTAAATAATATTGTCCTATAAACATCGTAAAATCTTACGGTACGGTAAAAATGTGTTATATTTTATATTTCAATTTATGGTAAGTAACGCAGCAATTCATTTAATAACAGTTCCATAATAAAAAAAAGTATTTAAAGCAATATAATCACCATATTGAGCATTTGGAAATTCATCCCTTTAAAATAAACAAAACGCGCGTTACGTCAGTTCGTTCTAAAAGAAACGTGACAATGGCAGCCAGAGATGCGTCAACTTTTTTTGGGCCGGCCCGCATGCACCGAATAAAAATAAAGTTCTTATATATTGAAAATAAAGTTTCCTCTTTTGAATAAGTACGTACTTATTCGGTATCGTTATTACTCGAATCTTTGTATGTGTTATAAATTAATGTTTTTTGTTGTTAAATGGATAAAGTACTTACAGTCTTCTACAGAGATATTTTATATAACTTTATAATAATAGTTATTAAATATATATTATATCAATCATTATAAAAAATTAAAAAAATCATTATAAATAAAGAAAGTACTACATATGAAATGTGCCTATATATTGAAGGTTTGTAAACCCTGGTGAAACGACCGAAAGGTCAATGTCCGTTTTTCTCATTCGATTTGGCACGTACTATAGTGGATATTCTCACACCGTCATCGGAGGGTTATTCAGAAGGCCAAATTGTAGTCATTTCCTTTAGCGGGTTTACGAAAAACGTGATAGAATAGGTACGCAAGTATAAATTAATATTTTCTATTTTTAAAAACATATTGAGTTTTTAAGCAACCGTTTGCCGTGTTCGCTTCGGTCATTCTTGCACACCGGTACACCTAGCCAAATTAAGGATAAGGGATAATTCTTTACGTGAATGTGGTCTTGCTGAAAGTTCCACCGACCACATACTTTTCAAATGTTCGCGACTCAACTTCTCCTTGTATGATATCCTTCCCCAAAACATCCCTCGTCCTACTAATTCTACCCGTATGCTTTCTTTCATGTTCTCCTCATTTGTTTATATTTTATGTGATCTTATCTATACTAATAAGTTGTGATATAATACTAATTATTGATGATGGCAGGATTATAGATGCTTGTGTAGTCTTTTCGACAAAAAAAATTATTAAAAAAAAAACAAGATTTTAATTAGTAAGTCAGTCATGGAAGTGATTCTATGACTGACTTGATATTGGCAGATATTATTAGGAGAAGCCATAAAATAAAGAAGAAAAACTATTATCCTATAGGGGAACATTAAGTTGGAGCATCAGTCTACGCTAGGCTAGGAAGAAGTAATCAATCAGATAAGTTTATTCCTATCGGTTTGCATGTTCAATTTATTTTGGTGTTGTCTTGTATTTTTAACCGACTTCGAAAAAGGAGGAGGTGCTCAATTCGACTGTGTTTTTCTATTTTATTTTTATTATTATAAGCCACAGTCCCACCAGGTGGTAAGTGTATCCCTAGATAGTAAATTGCAACAATTACCGTTACAGCCTATTAAAGTCCACTGCCATATAGACCTCTTCCATAGATTGCCTCATAGGAGAATATTCGATTTAGTTGCCATCCTTGGCAAGCGGGTTAACAACCGCAGCTTTTTATTTGTAGTCATTATTAGAAAGACGCTGCCGCCCATATCCTGATTTGTATCCCTCTGTCGTCTCTTACGACACCCACGGGATTATATGGGGTAGAGGGTATTCTTACACCACCGCTACACGGTATACAATTTCTTTATTTTTTTATTTTATTTTTTTTTATTTTATTTTATTTTAATAAGGATAACAACAGCGTATATCGCTAAATACAATTTCAAATTTACTTCAAGTATGCCAATAACAGTTATCCACATATTAAATATAAAGGTAAGCTATTATTAACATAAGAAATTAAACAAATTAAAACAACTTAATAAAATAACACACAGTAATAAAATGAAGTAATTTTAGGTTTACTAACACTAAGATATTAAGTCTTTCTGACAAATTCATATGTGATTTACTTTACGAGTTACTTTTGTAATTCATTTATTTATATCATGGCAAAATATATTCAATATATCATTTTATATATACATACAAGCACACACATATATATACATACATATACACATACATACACATATATATATATATATATATATATATATATATATATATATATATATATAATTTACTAAGGTAAATTAAACAACAGAAGCTGTGTTTAATATGCATGTACGTACCTTGTTTCTAAAGTCACTTTTACTGCCTATAAAGGGATCGATGGTATTAAATGTTTTGTTATAATTTGATAGCAAACGTGTTGAGATACTATTTTTACCATAAAGTGTGGAATGACTAGGTATACTAAACAAAGTTTTCTTGGTGATTCTTGTGCGTTTTCTTTGCACATTAAAAGTAACAGTATTCAGTAAATCCAGTAAGTTTATGATTTTATTATATAAAACACTTACCACCAACCGGTAAATCGGGAAACGGTAGTGGATTGGCCTGATCCATTAACATAGCTGCAGCCCGCTGTTCACTTTCGTTTTCTAGTTCCATAGCCTCCGACTCTCTGATGCTATTCACATGGCCAAGGCATCTGTAATGGTTTTATAAAAGATTTTAACCTTAATGTAATATATAAAATTTTTATTTAAGAGTGATAAAACAAATTTATGTTGTAGAAGTGAATGGAAGAGTCGGAAGGGGACGTCCTAGGCGAAAGTTTATCGACCAAATTGGCGATATATTGAAAATGGGTCAAATTAGGAGTACCCTTACCCGACGAGCATGTATGCGTAGATATATGAATGTAGAGGAGCCGAAAGAGGTATGTCAGGATCGTGCCAAATGGAAGTCTGTAGTCTCTGCCTGCCCCTGCGTTTATGTTTTATAGTTTAATTTTGTTTGTTCATATTTTATGCGCTGCCATACCGTACATCAGTCAACAAATTGCTTTCACTCTCGCAAAGGTTATAAGCATAGTTGGACCCGGTGGCGCTTTTGTAGAATCCAGTTATCACCGGTGCGAAACCAGGGCAAATCTCTGGTATTTAATAAAATTTTTGAAAATTCTTTCGTCTTATCATTTTGGGGGAGGTGTGGAGATCAGAATTTTCTTATTTTTGCTTATACAGAGTGGAGGGAGGGGTGTCTCAATTCATAAAAATTTTGCTTACGTTATACTTGAACACCCCGTAAGTGGATGCTGTGGTAAAGAGAACAACATCTATCCTTGTCAATCACAATTCAGATGCGTGCTGGGAAAACCTTGAGGAATAAAATATAATGTGGAAAGTTAGAAAAAATATGCATGACTTAACTATCAAAACATTTAAGATCTTTATTAAACAAAAATTGTTTAGTAAGGGTTATTATACGAATAAAGAGTAATTAAGTAAAGTTAATAATTAAAGTAAGTAATTGATAAATAACCCTTAAAAATGAGGTAATCGCTACCATAAAAGTTAAAAGTTATTCACAACCTAAATATACGTTCCACATCTGAGCACAGGCCTCGTTTTAAGGCATCGTTTTAAGGTAAGAAAATGTCTTCGAAATATTGTTTTCTTATTTCTCGGATATGCATTTTCCTCACGATGTTTTCCTTCATAGCCAAGCACGTGGTAAATCAACACTTAAAATTGCAATGAACAATATCATTGGTGCCGGCGGGAATCGAACCCAGTTTGCTCGCGTACTGTGAAATTTACAGCGAGCGCTTAGCTCCTCAGCTACCACGGCACTATTATTCTACTATCATACTGTTTCTGAATGTTTTCATACATAATTGTATGAAATATTATATTGTAAATATATATTTTTAATTTACTGTTTCTTTTTAAAGTCCCGCTGGATTGCTTGCTGGTTCTTCCCAGAACAGAGGTTTTTTTCCTGAGAGGAGGAGAGGAAATGGGGAAGAAAGGTATATAGGGGAAGAGGGATAGAGGACAGAGAGGGGGTGGGGAGAGAGAGCAGGAAGGAAATATATAGGTAGACAGGAAGCGAGAAAGGAGAAAGTTTGAGAGAGGAAGCGAGGCAGGGAGGAGAAAGAGGCTGTGAAGGAGAGAGGGGCTGGCGCAAGGAAGAAAGTGACCCGCGTTCAGTAGCGTTAGTTTTGAATAATCTAAAACAACCTCACCCAGCGGCCTGCCTGGCAAATCCGGCCAGCATCAGACGCGTAGTGTCAGCGTGAAGCCCGTGCGCCAACAGCCAACGAATATGGGCCCTTCCATTCGGATGCGTCCTCGCTTCCACGTTGCGCCACAGCGATTTCTCCAGGACCAAACGTGCAAGTCTCGAGCATGAACTGTAAGAAACATAATCTAAAACTTACAGCCAAATAAAAAAAATTAAAGCCTGCAGCTCGGGGAGCGGCCAATGCTACATATGGTAGTTCAGAGCTATTCTATATAAATAGCGCAGTACTTCGGAACTTTGATAGCGTGATTTAGGTTTCTTCGCGTCTCGCTTGTGGCGAGAAGACAGCGCCGCCATGAGTTATTTTGTTTTTTAAAAGTCGGTTTTACACGTGATAGAGCCACACTGCAGCTATTATGGTTGTAGCAGGAATGGGTCGACTCGACCGGGGAAGGACCACGCTCCCACAGAATACCAGCGTGAAATAGCAGCTTAAGGTGGCCCTAGTCGATGGCACGAACTAAGTGGTGGGCGGGGTTAGAATGCATGCTATCTCAGCCGACATCATGTGCGAAAGCGAAGGGCATGACGATTTACAAATAAAAACGAACGCACCAAATTTCATAAAGGTTTTTTTACCCAAAAAAAAAAAAAAAAACAGACCTTTAGGAATCTGGATATCATGAAAAATCCATTGAATGTATCTTTTCAAAATAAAATTATTTGCACTTTTGAACACCTAATCTATCCCTGTATGGTAACTGTTCTGCAATTTTCGTTCTTCTTATGGTATTTATTTCCGCCCAAATATGTGTTATAAATTAGCACTTTTAAATATATTATTTTTTTACTTTTTGTTTCCATACAGGGCTAGATAATTGTGAGACAAATAAAAATCATTTTTATTTTGACCGTACACCATCAAACAGTGAAGTAATCACCAGACTACGTTTGCATGGAATAGTGAGTGACTAGTGTACCCTTAATACTGCTGTGTTCCTTATGGCGAGTGTAGAAATATCATACCTCAGAGGTGACGACGCAATTGCAGTTTGATTTTTAATTGAGGGTAAATAATTTTTAATAAGCGTTTATGGGCCACAGCATTTAGTTATCATCAGGTAGACTGTGTGCTTATTTGTCACCCATATCTATAAAAAAAATTCTGTCCCACAGCTGGTGTGTGCTTCGTTCTTCATAATGCGTACAGTAAAAATATGGAACAATTTGTCAACCTCTGTCTGTCCATATGATCACAATCTGAGTGTCTTCAAGAATCTTGCCTGCACCAAATCAACCTAAGAATAGAACCGAAAAAAGGTGAAGAATTTTGATATGCTAAAATGAAAATTAACCATCAACGGCTTTATCACGACTTACTAGCAAGTGGAGTTGTACAAGTACTAGGTTTAAAAAAAAGGAATATTCATGTGTGTTTTTATGCATGAAATAAGGATAAAAAAAGAACACACTGTACATCTGATGGTAAGTGGATGCTGTGCTCCATAGATATTTACATCTAATTAATATGATATTATATCTCATCATAGTACAGTGTTGTCACCCTTGAGTAGTCTTCAGATTAATTAAAATAGAAAGCCTCGGATCGAACACTACTCTACACTTACCACACAAAATAGCAACATTAAGCTGCTATTTCACGCTGGTATTCTGTGAGAGTGTGGTCCTTCCCAAATCGAGCCGACCCATTCGTGCTACAACCATAGCTGCAGCATGGCTCTACCACTGTTATTTTATACAATACACAAAACATTGTTAAAAGTACAATGAACAATTGCAGTGGTGCTGGTGGGGATTATTCTGAGGTTGCTCGCACACTATGTAATTAACGGCTGGCCTAGTTTAGTTTAGTTTAGTTTACGACGGGCTGTTTTCCGCAACTCCACGTCTAAGCACGTATTTTGCGTGTATGCAGGAATAAATATGCTTATTCGAGCCATGATATCTTCCCGAAGAAGCTCAGCAGTCCCTTGATGTTGCAAGCAACTTCGGGGAGCGATCCCGGCGTGCCGAGATGTTTAGCCCTGTATGAAGCGACTTCTGGACATGTCAGCAACACGTGAGCCGCCGTTTCTTCCTCTCCCATCATGCCCTGCACAGGGGGCTGTCAGTAACACCTATGGTGAACAAATTTTTGTTAAAAGAGCCATGTCCTGTGATAGCACTTGTTACTATCCTGATCTGTGGCTTGTTCAGTCTCATTAGAACCTTGGTTAGACGAATGTTTATTTCAGGTAGGGCCTCCCTAGCTTGTCTACAGTCTACTAAATTTTTCCAAAGCTAAGCGCGTAAATTATTGAAGTATCTACGTACCAGTGAACGAACGTAGCCAAAGGGGATTGGTATTATTGGTTCCGACCCTATAGTTGCTAGGGCCGATCCCCTTCTGGCAAGTTCATCTGCTGCATCGTTGCCTCTAGATCCACTGTGTCCCTTGATCCATTGCAGTCACATGGTTGTGCTTACATACCCCATTCAATCGTTGATGGCACTCGTATATCGGTGCCGAGTTCGTCACATTGCAACTCAGAGCTTGTAGTACCGCCATACTGTCGGTCAGTATTCTGATGGAGAAGTCTTTCACCTTCCTAGCATCTATTGCTATGGCCGCTTTGATGATACCCCTGCATTCAGCCTGGAAGACTTGTTGTGGGTACCCAGCGGTGTGCATATGTAGATATTAAGGTCATCAGAGAAAGCTCCAGACCGCACACCTTCATTTGTCTTAGAGCCATCCGTGAAAACTTTGAGCTTGCTTGGACCCAATCTTTCCAGATGGTCAGTTTTCTTCAATTGTATCCTGTACTTCTTATCGGATACAAATTGTTTTGGGATCCTATCATACTTGGCTTGTAAGATAGAAATTTTTGAGTAAATTCTATCAGTTATATCTGTATTGTGGATTTTATTTAGGTATTGAGTCTAATGGCAGCTAAAGTTGCTTCTTGTTGTATATGTAGATGAAGCGGTGTTAGCTCCAGCATAGCTTCCAAAGCTGCTGTTGGTGTAGTCCTTATGCAGCCCGTGGCAGCCATACAAGCTAATCTCTGGTAACGCTGTAGCTTTTGTATAGTGGTGGCTTCATTGGTTTCGGTCCACCATACCAGAGCTGTATGTGATCATGGGCCGAATTACAGTTTTGTACAGCCACAGTATAATTTTTCAGTCCCGCCCGTGACCACGAGTGCTGTAAAGCGCTCGAAACGTCGGGTATTTAAAAAGTTAAATATACGCGATAAATTCCGTAAGAATTAGTATTATTTCAATAATTTTTGGCGTTAAACCCCATCATTTGCCAATCATGTTTCTGCAATGCCAGAAAGTTAAACTAGCTTTGTTGATTTTGTTTTCTATGTGTTTGTTCAAGTTAAGTTTACTGTCCAAGGTAAGACCTAGATATTTTATCTCGGAAAAAAGTTAGAGTTTTGTGCTGAAAAGACTTGGAAGATGATAGTTATTCAGCATTCGTTTTTGTGTGAACATTACTATAACCGTTTTATTTGGATTAACGGTTAGGTCATATTCCCTGCACCATCTCTCCACAATACGGAGAGCCTCTTGGATTAGGTCGCACACAATGCTTACTGTCTTCCTAGAGACCAGTATTGTCAGATCATCTGCATAAGTTAGCGTTTAATTTGCAGATGAGTTCATTAATGACCATATTCCACAGGAGAAGTGAAAGAACCCCAACGGCTGGCCTATTCATCGAACGTTAATAGCATGAACGGATCATACAAACAAAGCCTAAATCACGCTATTCAAGTTTCTGAACGATTCTGTATATGATACAAAATTTCCTCCAGACCGAATTCCGGTCACGGTGGGATCCTTCGTTTTCGTTCCATACATGAGTGGATTACAGTGCAGGTGTTTATGCATGCGCACAAGTCCTATTCCCTCACTTTAATAGTCCCATAGGACGGCAACCGACATTCCATTCAGACAGGAACAAGGAATTTGATGGCAGAAATAAGTATGAGGATGATACTTTTTGATGGATACATTGTGGCCTCTGAGCACTAAGATGCATTTTATTTAACTGGCTTTACGGGTTTGGGTTCTAGCCCTTTTGAGCCTATCATTTCTTTCGGAATCTTCATTTTTATATATTTCTTTTTCACAATATGCTGATACGTCACATTGCGAAGTTTTTGGGAGATTTTGACAACAGCTCAACCCAGCGGACAGTTGATGACGACAACCCCTCAAGTTCATAAGGCGCCCAAGCGATCAAAATAACTTGAGGTTTATATCAACATCAAAGCACTTGTTTCGTCGTTTTCACTTTCGACACTTAATTCACAAAATCGCATCACTTTTCCAAATCAAAATCCACTTCAAACCATTATTCAAGCGACAAAACAGGAGCGATAATACGTCGACGGTCAAGTACCCGCCAAAACCTACGATGCCTCACAGACTGCAACCATATTGGCTTTCTTTAAATGACGATCGTCTTTACGTGCTTTCAGAAGCACGGGAGTGAAACATCGCCAACTTCCTGACTCCGAGCCGCTACAGAATATTTCCTGACAGAAAAACCCAATTAGTGATTTTGGTCCGACCTAGGATTCGAACCCGAGACTTGGTGGTCAGCAACTGAGTTTACGACCAACAGTGCAATTTCTGTATATAATGCCACATTTATTCGGTTTTTCGCGCGGACGTAAAAGGACGGGCGGCGCGAGCGCGAGCGAGTGTTTACATTCTCGCTCACTTTAGACATGTGTCAATCATTACTTCTTGTGACCGAATCATTATAAACATTTTTCACGCGTGCACAATCCGACACGATCGTCCATATCAGGTGCAAGAGCAAAGGCTTTATTTGCTTGCGAGGCACAGGGATGAATTACCGCCAACTTCCTGTCTGGCCTGCTACTCAAATTTTCTCGACAGACACACCTAATAGCAATTTTGTTGATTCGACCGTCGGATTTGAGCTCGGGACGACATCATCAATAAACTTACTCATATACTACATATACGTAAGTCTATATACGTCCCACCTCTGGGCACAGGCTTTCTCTCATTTCTGAGAGGGTTTTAGGGCAAGGAAGTGTCCGCCACGCTGCCCCAATGCGTGTTGCCGAACTTCACATGTCTTCGAAATATTTTTTTACAGGTACATTCGAATCGATCATTCAAATGGATCATTTCATTCATATCATTCGGGATTCGGTCGGTTTTCGACTCATTCACAATTCACACCTATCACGAGTTAAAAAGGTTCCATCAATTGTTTGTGATTGGTTGTACCGGAACATTCAAAAATAGATGAATGAACCATCAATACTTTTAAGTGTCTGGTACACTTAAAAGTATTGATGGTCAAACGAACGAATCATTCATGGTTGACACACATGTCTAGCTCACTTGCCGATTAAGTTCGACCGAGAAAGAACGTGCTGCGTTCAAAAACGGCAATTCGTTTATGAATCTGTCCTGTGTTTTAATGATATTTAGTAATGATAAAACAATTAAATTTTTAGAACTTTATGGAATTGAGCGGGTAACATAGGATCCTCATGATAAAAACCATAAATCGCACGTAGTAGCTACCTATACTGAGCAGAAATAATGCTGTCACACCAATAAACTCGACATCAGTCATTATTGCGAGTAGATTAATAAAGAAGAATATGAATGCTGAATGTTATTGCCGCAGAAGTATTTAGGGAAATATTTCCGGCAGCGACAGGACCGGTAGCAGTGGCTGTGTGTAAATGGGGCATAACACCTTGCCCGGCAGATTCCTATATCCCTACGGCCATAATAGTCAATATTTACATATATTATAAATTATTATTACCATCTGATTTGACTTGCAAAAATAAGATCTTCACAGCTTTTGGTCTGCTTCATTGATGATGTGAGCCGTGGTAGCTCAGATAGTTAGCGCTCGCTGTAAATTTCACAATACGCAAGCAAACCGGGTTCGATCCCCGCCGGCATCAATGAAATTGTTACTTGCAATTTTAAGTGCTGATTTATCACGTGCTCGGCGTTGAAGGTAAACATCGTGAGGAAACCTGCATGTCTGAAAAATAAGAAAAAAAATATTTCGAAGACATGTGAAGTTCGGCAACACGCATTGGGGCAGCGTGGCGGACACTTCCTTGCCCTAAAACCCTCTCAGAAATGAGAGGAAGCCTGTGCCCAGAGGTGGGACGTATATAGACTGTAAGTTTATTGATGATGTCGTCCCGAGCTCAAATCCAAGGTCGAATCAACAAAATTGCTATTAGGTGTGTCTGTCGAGAAATTTTGAGTAGCAGGCCAGACAGGAAGTTGGCGGTAAGTCATCCCTGTGCCTCGCAAGCAAATAAAGCCTTTGCTCCTGCACCTGATATGGACGATCGTGTCAGATTGTGCACCTGTGCTTGTGCATACATTCGAGCATTATAATCCTGCCTCGCGCTGATGGCTAGTCTCCGCCGAGAAAGGACACCGTTAGCGATATTAGGTCTGTAATTGTTTAGTCCACTCAAAAGGGTCAAATAATTTAATTTTACACCATGTAAAAACAGACTTCAAAACGCTGAAAAGCAACATATTTGAATTGAATAAAATAATCTTCACATAATTTAATAGCATTCTGAAGTTGTAGCTATAATTTTGCGTTGCAATTTGTCTTATAACTTGTAAGTATTTTTTTATTAAGTCAGTATTACCGACGTGGTATAGCCATGCTACAGCTATGTTATGGTTGTAGCACGAATGAGTTGGCTCGACCAGGAAAGGACTATGCTCTCACAGAATACCAGCGTGATATAGCAGCTTAATACTATTGTTTCGTATGGTGAGTGCAGAGATCCGGAGACCCTTTTTACTGGAAACGAGGCATTCCATCTTAGTGTTCAGGGGTGACAACGTATCTGCGTTTTGATTCTTAATCGTGGATAAATGTAGATATCTATGGGTCATAGCATTCACTTACCACCAAGTGGACTGTGTACTAGTGTTGTCATTGTGTGCTCATGCAGTCTTATTTTGCATTCTATCCCAATCGGCCGACCTATAGTGCCAAACACGGCGGCAGCTTGCAGAATGCAACCGCGAGTTAGTGTGGTACCACACTCTGGACAAGACAAGTCGTTAAGGTTGGACTGTGTCCCCTGATGTTGCAAAAATTCACGGATAGCGTCACCCTTAATTTATAAAAAAAAACTTTTTTTAAATAAAAACATATGTTCAGTTCACATAAGATAGAAGTCAAACCTTCAAATGAAATTAAATATAAAATAAAAATATTTCATAGCAAATGTGGCAAGTGCGGCATAAAATATAAGATAAAAGTTTAATTTTATAGCAAATAAATGTTACAATCTTTTTTTTAGACATGTAGAGCCCAAATTTTGGAGTAATAAATTAGGAGAATATTTTCTTTCGAATAAAATTGCTTTGTAACAGCGCCCATCTACTTCATTCTACAGGTAAAGTCCTTTTTTGGTACAAAAGTTGATTGACTCTCAAGGTGGTACGTAAAATAGACGCTAGATGGCCTAAACACGACTACTTTAATATAATATTCTGTACTGTATTCTATCTCATTCTCTCACAGGCTTAATTCTATAGATGTATATGTATGTCTATTTTTACTGTCGTTCCAATCAGAACAATTCTAAAGAAGTTTTTATTTTCACAATAAAAGAACATTTAAAAGTGACATACAATCCTAGTGCTTTCAGGTCCCGCGCAGAGCAATGCTTCAAGATGTAAAGCATGACATCATCGGATAAGTCGAGGAGTTGGACACTGTCGACCCTGCCATTTTCACCTTCATGTTTCAATGCAAATGGTTCTGGAAAATACAAAAGTATATTTACTTTGATTATTAAACACGTAGTGCGGACTTTTCTATCAAGGGCGTTAAGTTCCGTCTGAGTCCACCTGAGTATACCAAAGGTATACATGAGGACAGGCATGACTCAACTGTTATATGCGTGTCTTATACACACCGGACAAATGGCTGTTAAGCACTTTGGTCAAGCGTGCATAAAACACGTCGCAAACTGACTGTTTCATATCGGTGACATAGCCAGAAATCAGTATGTTTCAGCCTCGGAAAGGGTCTTTAAGTTGACGGACATAGATAAATCTATGCCCTCAGAGTTAGCAACCCTTCCCTTTTTACATATATTATATATGTGTAAAAATATGTGTGTGATTACTGTTAATTACAAAGTATACTATAATACATACATAATAGAACGTGGGAGTGGATGGAGCCCATGTAGCCACTAAAATGTCACTAACACGTCAATTCACACGTATAAATGTCAACACGAGATGTGTTTTGACGTTACAATCGTTTCCAAATTTCGTATGCAAATTATTTAGAAAATGCCAAATTGCACACTATTTACAAATAAATATGTATTAAAATTTAAACGATTTTTAATGATGATCTTGAACATTAATCAAAAGTCTAAAATGTGTAAATTTACTCAGTCTGTCAACACAGCGCATCAGGTTTGTAGTAGTTATAATACGACGTAATTGCTTGTATGTGTGCTCCCGGCGACGCCGATCCTCGTAAAAAATAAGGTTGACAGCCATTCTATTGTGTATTATAGTATTCTAAGGTTCATTATGTAGTAAAGCCATGTTGCAGCTTTATTATGATTGTAACGTTAACTACCCAAGGTTCGATCGGAGTAGGGCTATGCTTTCACAGAATATCAGTGTGAAATAACAGCTTAATGCTGCTGTGTGTGTGTTTGCGTGTTGCGTGTTTAGTATGGTGAGTGCAGAGAACCAGAGACCCTTTTTTACTGGTTAAGAGGCAATCCATCTAAGACCTCAGGGGTGACAACGCATCTGCTTTCCGAATCTGCCTTCGGCTGGAGACAGATATTGACTGCCTTCCACGTTATATCACTGCTCTACGGTTGAATGGTTGAAAATACTCTCAGCATTTTGAAATTACTTTAACATTGCGTAAGGTTTTTTTTATATCATAAGGGTGACAAATGAGTACACAGTCCACCGGATGGTAAGAGGATGCTGTGGCCCATACATAAAAAATTAACACCAATTTTAGTACCTTGTACCTGTTTGTTGTTTGTACCTGTTAAAAGTAATATGTAGCATGATCAGCTCCAGAGCTGTGGTGACTTAGGAGTTGCAAGAGTCCTACAGAATATTTTATTTTATTTAAAAAAATCATTACCCCCACACAGGATTTTCTCCTGTATCGACAAACATCCAGACTCGGAACAATTACTTGTAGGCCATACAAATACTTGTTTTGTGCGGGATCCGAACCCACGGCTGTCAGCGCCGCAACTCATAGTTAAGCCACTGGGCCATGGAGCAAATTAAGTCTAATATTACTAGCGTAGGTGGCCCCACTAAGGGGCAATTTCCGCCCTGGATGTTTCCAAAATCAGTTCCAAACTGGAGGAGCTGGGCGCAAGAAACGAGCAAAGGACCGCGAGTAGCAAAACTCCTGCGGAGCCTGAGAGAACGGACGACCTTTCCTCTGCTACCTGGCAAGTGGGGAGCTGTAAGGTCTCACCGTCACCCAAAGAGGTGACTTGTCGACACCTAAAGGACCATTAAGTGGGTCTATTCCAGCAGGCAGTAGTGTAAAGGCCAAGAAAAAGAAGCAGAAGTAGAGCAGCCAAAAGGATACTGGAAGAGACCTCATCGCGAAAAAACAGTGTGATTCGGAAAAAAGTTCCAAGAACCAGCTATGATTCCGCTGCTAAAGCAGATTTAAGTGTGGCCTTAAAGTGTGCGTGTTCTGGTCACATAATGAAGGAGGTAGTTGACGACAACCTAATGGCAATACAGAGGAAAATGATTAACGAAGCCTGGAGTAGCCAGAATAATTAATTTCCTTTTCTCGGTACCTCAACAGTGGGGGGCTAAAGACCTAATGGTCAGACTTGTTGCCATAATGAGAGCATGACTTGATTGTCTGACTTTCAAATATGTTGCTAGGGGATGGAGGGAAGTAAAAGTTACATTCATACCCAGACCAGGTAAGAGACCATACAGACCCTAAATCCTATAGACCCATTAGCTTCACATCCTTTCTTCTAAAGACGATGGAGAGGATGTGTGAAGAGGGGGTCGGCGCTAATTAACTTACCACTGCACGACAAAGAACACCAATCATCTTCACCAGTATAATAAGGATTGAAGAGGTTATACCAAATACAGAAATATATCTAGGTCCCTCCATAGATATGGAAGATGGTTTTAACAGAAAGAACTTTTCCAGAATAAAACTGGATAGTAAACATGCTCAGTGCACGAACAATTAACATTGCTGGTGAACCTCAAACAATCCAGATCAAGAAACGCTGCCCCCAGCGTGGGGTTCTTTCACCTCTCCTGTGGAATATGTCATTAACAAACTCATCAGCAAATTAAATGACAGTCATTTCTACACAGTAGGTTATACAGATGATCTGACAATAATGGCCTCTGGAAGGACAGTAAGCATGGTATGCGACCTGACCTAAGCGGCTCCCCGTATTGTGGAGATATGGTGCAGGGAATATGACTTAAATGTATACACAAATAAAACAATTCTAATAATGTTCACACAAAAACGAATGCTGAATAACTATCACCTCTCAAGTATTTTCAGCACTAAACTTCAGCTATCCTCTAAGGCGCTCTCTCCAGCTATCCTCTAAACTGACATCAGAAGAGAAAAAAATGTTAAGCATAGAGAACCTACCTTGTATTTTACTACGTAAATATTGAGATCTGTAAATTAACCTATGTTCACAAAATAAACTGATTTGGTTTGATTTGACACGGCAACGACAAAACTGCGCAAACGAACCGAACAGTTCATTTGCGCAGTTTATTGAACGTCGGTAGTGCGTCCACATATTTACAATATCTGCGTCGATCCTCAGTTCTCGGCAGAAAAATAAAAACACTTCATTCGTGATGGAAGACGATGAAGCGCTTGCTCTAGCCTGGCTTAAAAAAGTAAAGTAAAGTTACAGCCTATATACGTCCCACTGCTGGGCTCAGGCCTCCCCTCATTTCTGAGAGGGTTTAGGGCAAGGAAGTGTCCGCCGCGCTGCCCAAATGCGTGTTGACGAACTTCACATGTATTCGAAATATTTTTTTTCTTATTCCTCAGACATGCAGGTTTCCTCACGATGTTTTCCTTCACCGCCGAGCACGTGGTAAATCAGCACTTAAAATTGCAATTAACAATTTCATTGGTGCCGGCGGGGATCGAACCCGGGTTACTCGCGTTCTGTTATATTTACAGCGAGCGTTAACCACTGAGCTACCCGCTCTTTGGTTGATAAAAAAAACATAAAGTCATACTCACACATAAATTTATTAAACGAGTTGAAGTTTTCCCCAAAAGACTGACACAATTATTTGACGATGAATGAAGAGACTTACACCTCCTGTTTTTAGTTACACCGCTAATACAAAAAAGCAATACCGTGATGAGGGAAGCAATAAGTTCTCATGAAAGATTGTCTGCAACTTTGTGGTTTTTAGCTACATGTCACTCGTACGAATGTATGAAGTTTTCTAAGTTGATATCAAAACAGGCTCTCAGTCAAATCATTCCTGAAATTGTGATGCTTTACAAAAGTACAAAGTTCTACAGTTCTGAATGATTGGTCCGACTTACGTACACACACTGCGATAAAACTGTGCAAATGCGATCGACAACAATTAATCAAATAGATTTTGAACCTTGCTCCCATGGCTTGCACCAAATAAAAAAATCTGCACTGATTTTTGTACACACATTCAATATAACTGCACAAATGGTCTGCGCAGTTTGCGTATAAAACATTTAGATCTTACCTTGGACAACAAACTGACCTGGAATAAACACATAGAAAACAAATTCAACAAGGCTAGTATAACCTTCTGGCAATGCAAAAACATGATTGGCAACGATGGGCTCTGACAACAAAAGTTATACTGTGGCTATACAAAATTGTCATTCAGCCCATGATCACATACAGTGCTGTGGTATGGGGTTAAACAATTTGAGTTTGATAAGAATACAAGATACAATTAAATGAAACTAACCAGCCGGAGGGTTTAAACCCAAAAGAACTCAGAATTTTCATGGATGGTTTCAAAACAAATTAATGTACAGGATCTGGAACTTTCTCGGAAGAGCTCAGTATCCATATACGTACACTGCTCGGTATCCACACCAGTCTTTCAGGCAGAATTTATGGGTATCATCCGAGGTATAAAAGACTCCTCCATCAGAATACTGACCGACAGCATGGCGGTACTACAAGCTCTGGGTTGCAATGTGGTAAACTCGGAACTAATATATGAATGCTATCAACAACTAAATAAGGAATGTGAACACAACATTGTGACTCTGCTGTGGATAAAGGGACACAGTGGATCCAGTGGCAACGATACAGCAGACGAAACTGACCAGAAGAGGATCGGCTATAGCCACTATAGGGCTGGAACCAATCGTACCAATCCCCTTTGGTATCATTCATTCACTGGTACGTAGAAACTTCACCAATCACCACGCTCAGCTTTGGAAAAATCTAGTAGTCTGTAGACAAGCTAAACAGGCCCTGCCTGAAATAAACAGCCGTTTAACCAAGGTTCTAATGCGATTACAATAGATCTTTTAGATCGCAGTGATACTGGTCTCTTTCCCTAGACCTGCATAGCTGCTCGCACATGATAATAATAATAAGGTTCTAATGAGATTGAACAAGCCACCGGCATGTATGAGGGAGGAAGAAACGACGGCGCACGTGTTGCTGACATGTCCGGAGGTCTCTGCATACAGGGCTAAACATCCCGGCACGCCGGGATCGCTCCTCGAAGTTGCTCGCAACATCAAAGGACTGTTGAACTTTTTCGACGATATTTCATGACTCGAATAATTGCAATACAATGCAATCCCCACATGCAACGTCGTTATCTATCTATGATGAATAAACATAAGATTCATTCTTTCACTCAAAAGAAGTTTTGGAAAAGTTTTCTATAAACAGTAATTGTTCTAAATATTTGGATCGCTGACATAGCATATTGGCGAATAGAGCAGACAAGGGATGCGTTCACAATGAGGGCAAATAATCTTGCGCTCATCAGAGGTCGGTAGGAGATACTGAGATGATGTTTTTTTGTTACACAATGTCATTTAATTGAGAAGGTAGTTTTAAATAAAAGTTTATCAGTTTCTAGAGTATTATATTAATACACAAAACAAAAAAAAAACAATTTTTGAATTTTTTGAATTTTGAATTTGAATTTTAAATACACAAAACAATGCCTCGGTGGTTTAGTTTTTAATTTTTTTTGCACATTTTTCACAATTTTTTTTAATTTTCTACTTTTATGCAATGTCTACGGTTTAGTTTATTTGTTTTTAGTCTAATTAATATAAAACTAGTACAGAAAGAAACCTAACATTTCTGAGCAAATTAAATCTTTGCTCCTAACTGTAAAATTACATATTTCTAGGTGACGCCGCCCTGGTAGCAGAAAAAATCGTGAATGCCTTCAGCGCATGATTCGATTCGATTCAATAAAGTACTTTTCTTTCGATATTGACTTAGGTATCGAAAGAAATAATTCGATATTTAAAAAAATGACGGGTTGCACTCCGGGAGTGCCGGCAGAAATTAAAACTTGAATATTAACGTTGTGCATTTTTGATATTTTGGAATGGTTAGGGAATAATTTTGCACGAATTGCTTGAATTATCAGTATAAAAATACTATCATTTATGTGGTAGAATACAACATTTATTTATTGCGCTAGTGTACACAAACAAATATTATATTACATCGCAACCTGCGCTGCCTAAACGAAACAGCAGGCGCAGGCATACATTCTTGCCGCGCCGTAGAAAGAGAGGGGGATACTTCCTCTCCTACTCTCCATACGTCTTACGAATTTTCTATCAGGTCACGTATCCCGACACGAGTTTAACAATTTTTACCCATTACAAAAACGTGTACAACGCTGCTAAAGAAGTTTTCACTTCAAAAACTTGGTATCGAAAGAAAAGTATCGAATACTTACTTGTATCAAATCACCCTTACCTACCAGCCATGTACCTACTTGCCAGTAAGCTCCTTTATCACCAGTTTTATAAAGAAAAAATATATGAATTTATGAATTATTCAGTAACAAGATAACTAAATGTAAATAGGTAAGATTGTAGTGCCTTTTGTGACAGCCATTTGTCACTGAATGTTGTAAATTCTTATGTAACATTAGCTTCAAGTCTGTATGCATACAATGACCCATTTATTAAGACTTTTTTCTTAAACTTATAAACAGTTTTCTGACTAACAAAGAGGTTAAAGTATTTCATATTTAAATATAATGGAATATTTTCATATGGGCTTTTTAGAAAACTTCCATTAGGTATTATTTATGAGATTTTATAAATTATGTAACATCTAAGTAGCATTTTATTGAGTATATGTGAACAAAGTTTAACTTACATTGAAAATTTAAAAAAAACCCTCCAAAACAAAAAAGCTGGTGATCTTCAAATGGCTGAAAAGGTTTTCTTAAATCATAGCTTAGAACACTAAAACAAGTCCCTTTCAAAAAAAATCTAAATCTAAATAGGTTATTCCGTTTGGGAGCTACGATGCCACAGACAGACACACAGATACACAGTACATGTATACTGTGGTAGAGCCATGCTGCAGCTATAATATGGTTGTGGCATGAATGGATCGGCTCAACCAGGGACGAATCACACTCACACAGAATACCAGTGTAAAATAGCAGCTTGATACTGCTGTGTTTTGTATGGTGAGTGTAGAGATCCAGAGACCCCTTTTAACTGGAAATGAAGCATTCCATCTCAGTCCTCAGGGGTGGCATCGCATCTGCGTTTTGGTTCTTAATGACGAGGATAAATGTAGATGTCTATGGGCCACAGTGTCCACTTACCATCAGGTGGAATGTATGCTTGTTTGTCACCCTTATTCTATAAAAAAAAAGAAGAAACAGAAGTACAGTAGCTAAGTATTTGGGTAGAGCACTGCCAGTCGTGCGTTTTAATCCCATATACATGAATGAATGAAATAATTTTTATTCAATATAGATTATCACATAATATTAATTGAAAGTAATTTTTTAATCACCACTGGTTCGGAAAAAACCTCTGTCCTGGGAAGAACCAGCAAGAAACTCAATGGGACTTTTTTTTTAAACATATTTCACTTTACAATAATTTATTTTGTACAATTTTTTAATCAATTTTTATAGATCCAGCATGGTAGCGATCTCCTCATACCCCGGGGTTATTTTCATTTATGTATTCTTTGATTTTATGAACTACCCTTTTTGTGCAATATTTCTTTAATAATTTAAACTTGTTTAATAACAAATTTTATACATTTTCTGGGATTTTGTTGTAAAAGCATAATATACATTGCTCCATAAATTAATTACTAATTCTGTGGAGTCTAGTAAGTGGACCATACTAAACAAGTGCTTGTATGGTCTACAAATATTTTTTTATAGAATAAGACTGACAAATGAGCATACAGTCCACTTGATAGTTAGTGGATGCTATGACCCCTAGACAACTACATGTAAGATTAAGAATCATTATTCAGCTGCATTGTCATCCCGGAGGACTAAGATGGAATGCCTTGTTTCCAGTAAAAGGGACTTCAGTTATTATCACACATCAGATGAAACACAGCAGCATTATGCTGTTATTTTATGCTGGTATTCTATGAGATTGTGGTCCTTCCCAGAGGAGCAAACCCATTCAAGCTACAATGATAGTATAGCTGTAGTGTGGCTCATAAACAGTGGTATAGAATAGAATAAAATAGTTTTCATTCAATATAAAATGCAAGTAGATTTTATTAAAAGTTATTTTTTTACTTTTACTACTGGTTCGGAAAAAACTTATGTTCTGGGAAGAACCAGCAAGAAACCCAGTGGGACTTTTTTATATTATATTATTCTCATATTTATACCAAGCTGTGGGGGCTCAGATTCAGATTTAGATTAGATTATTAGCGCTGTGAATTTCACAGTACACGAACAAAACTGGGTTTGATCCCCGCCTGCACCAATGAAATTGTTAATTGCAATTTTACGTGCTGATTTACCATGTACTCGGCGGTGAAGGAAAACATCGTGAGGAAACCTGCATGTCAGAGAAATAAGAAAAATAAATATTTCGAAGACATGTGACGTTCGCTAACATGCACGGAGGAGAATTCCTTGCCCTGAAACCCTCTCAGAAATGAGCGGAGGCCTGTGCTCAGGGGTGAGACATATATAGGCTGTAACTTTAACTTTTAACTTTATTTATACCAAGGTAAAAAAACCTATACCAGTACCAGAAATAAAGAATATATACAAGCATAATAAAGAAGACTATATCTAAGTCTATAGGTAGATGGAAAAATTATGTTTTTTTAAAGTACAATTTTTAACAACATGGTGAATTGAATTATGATATATATTTGTGGTTGCCTAGTGGTTAAAATTTGAACTTAATTCATATATTTATACATTAAGCCGATGTTATTATGACATGCAATCTTGCTATGGGGTAATGAGATTGACATTGGAACTATATTTGTTTTGCAGAAGAGAGCCATAAGACCAATTTATAAACTAGTTCCAAAGGAATCTCTTCGGTAGAAATTCTACTCGAAACCATAACATTAGCCGTTCTTCAACTTCAGTATCACATACCAAAAATTCATCAGTTTAAGAGAAAAATAAAGTTGGAAATAGTTGGGAATTATGTGTATACCATTATAGCTAAAAAGTCTACAGCTAAATACAGGCATCCTGTATAGATTGCCTCGTAGAATAGGGGGATATTTGCCATAGTTGCAACACTTGATTTTTTTATAGAATAAGGGTGACACACGAGCACACAATCCACCTGATGGTAAGTGGATGCTGTGGCCCATAGACATTTGTCTTCAATTAAGAAACAAAATACAGATGCATTGCCAGCCTTGAGTGCTGAAATGGAATTCCTCGTTTCCAGTAAAAGGGTTCTCCGGTTCTCTACACTTACCATACGAAACACTGCTAAGCTGCTTTTTTTTATTAAGCTGCTATTTAATGCTGGTATTATGTGAGCATGGTCCTACCCCGGGCGAGCAGACCCATTCGTGCTGCAATTACAATATAGGCTCTACCACGTAACGTTGTGTATAAACAATTAAAAATGCGTTATCGACCAATGGGCCCCAGGAGTTAAACAGAAACCTACGGCTAAGCTAACGCGCCATCTCAATAAATTTTGCTAATTTACCTACTATTATAATACTGCAGAGTAACAGCAATGATCACGAAAATTTTACAAAGACTTCACAAACGAGAAAGCAATAATAAATTAAAAGATCAACTCACCGTCTTGAACGCATCCACTATCATCTAATTCCCGCTTTAAGTTATCATCGAGCTGCATGGTCCCCATTTTATGATGAATATTTCAATAATATTCTTGATTTTAATAAAAAAAAATAACACTCAAAACAAAGAAATACCGATGAGCGAGTGTCTGACTAATTTGCCGACAACAACGATAAACAATCTTTATTTACTGGAACGTATCCAACTCGGTAAAAAGCAGACTCATCTCCATCAAATTCAAAGCACAGAACCACAGGCACAGAACAGAACACTATTACTCCTAATACCAAGAGTATAGTAATATTGATCACCATCTCATCTCTAAGCTTTGGAAACCAACGACCAACCACGACAAACGGGACAAACGAATCCACTGGAATCCACAATCGACAGATATGTCAAAGTGTTCTGTCAACTAATGGTGGTTACATGGAGGTTAGAGAACAGGAGAACGATCGCTACGTGCTAAACCATAGCCCGCCTGTCCCTGAGAACTGGTTTAATTTATAGCCGCGCTGCCGTCGGTAAGTAGTATCTGCGAAGGTATTTTTTAATTTTTGACAAAAAGAAACATTAAAAAATGGTGAAATATTATTAAAAAAAATAATAATAAATCAATAATAATTAATAATTTATATGTGTAATAATTTATAATATTTATAATAATTAAAATTATTGAGACAACTTCCAGCCTCACTTACTTTGTCCATATTTCGGGGACACTATTTTATACAGCGAACGTTCTCCTGTTCTCTAACCTCCATAGGTGGTTAATATAGCGCATAGCGCCATATTATAGCGCGCTATCTCTTCATAACACATAGCACGTGCTATGTAAATAGTCGCTACGGCACTATTGCGCTATGGCGCTTTGACGCTATTAAGTATTAATATTTAGGGGCAACTAGTTCCAGCCGCAGCGCTGTTGGGAGAGGACATGTGATACAAATTTGATCTAGTACCACGATATACATCGCTCGCGAACTAATTTAGTGTTAGACGTTATGTAGTTAGTGTATACTGGTTGGGCGGCGGGCCTAGGGGTTCCCGAGTTCGATTCCCAGGTCGAGCCTTGACCCTACTGTGCGAGATGTTATACTAGGTGGACTGTATACGCGGATGGCTTCTCATGCCTCAACAAGATGGCGGACGTGGCACGCGACAACCTTGGACAATGCACTCGCTCTTCCAAATCTATTGCTTGCCATTAGTATTTTAGCTATAGTAGCTTGCCATTATTAGGATGGAATTCTACTTGAGCCAATAAGAAGAAACAAAATGGGGCAGGTTAGTTAATGAACAAAAGGCTCAAGTAGCAAATAATTGGAGACATACTTACCGGGGTGTGATTCTGACGCTGCGGACGACGCTTCCGTTGCAGTGCTATGTTGAAAAATAGGAGCTGGCGCGATGTGAGGAGGCTTCCCATGGGGCGCCCCAGAGATGCAATCCAGGCTGGCGGTGTGGAGCAAGAGCGGTGCGCGACGATATCTCACACTATGTGAGGCGGTTACTTCTGGGACGCCCCACGGCTTGAAGGGTCCCTTTCAAAATAACTAACGCTAAGATGAAACCTAATTTTCGACTATAATTTCTTATCTAGAAAGCTAATTCAAACTATTGATTGGGCAAAGGGCACAAACGGCAACAGGGCGCATGTAAGACCCAGTCGTGGTCCTAACGCGAGCTACCCTAGTTACCTCGTTGGAACCGGGAAAAACTTCTTCAACGATCCCTAATGGCCAATGGAGAGGCGGCGTATTCTCCTCAGTGAGTACAACCACAGTTCTGACAGTTAAAGGTTCAGTTGTTGTGTTCCAATAATTTATGGCGTGCAGAAATACTAAGTTTGTCTTCGTCTAAGTCTATGGCGGGCAGATATTTCAAAGGCGTTAAATTCAAAAAATGTGCTGGAGTTAGAGCCAGCGGCTCCGAGGGGTCACTTGACAACGTACGACAAAGGGGGCGATTATTCATAACGCACTCAATTTGAGCGAGCACAGTACTTAACTCTTCGAAGGACAAAAATTAATCTCCTATTACTCGGTGTAAATGGCTCTTTAGACTCTTAATATTAGTCTCCCAATTTCCCCCAAAATGGCTCGCGGCGGGGACGTTCAGAGACCACTCGATGCGGTTCTCGGCTAGATTGTGAGCGAACTCCGAATTATAATATTTACTGGTTAAAAGCTCATGTAGTTCTGATAAAATACGTTTCGCGACGAAGTAGTTTGTACCGTTATCCGAATACAATTTACTTACAGGTCCACGGCGGGAAAGAAATCTTTTAAATGCACCCATGAAGCCCGCTGTGCTTAGATCACCAACAAGTTCTTTATGCACAGCACGAGTAGTCAGACATACGAAAATGCAGAAGTAAGCTTTTGTGGATCTTATACCACGCCCGCGAGTGAGCGTGACTTTAAACAGACCAGTAAAGCCAGACCCGGTGTACGTAAAGGGCTTTACGGATTGTTTTATACAACAAGACCTAAGGTCCGCCATTTCCGCAAATGATGGTTTAGAACGTACTCGAAAGCAAGCCATACATCTGTGCACCTGATTGCGGATTAAATTAAATGCAGAAAGAATCCAATAATTCTGACGCAAGATTGACATCAACAAGTCGGGGCCAGCGTGAGAATTCAATTTATGGTGGTAATCAACTATAATAAATTCATGATATGGTCCTTACGCGGTTAAACTATAGGGTGCCGTTGATCGAAACTCAACTGCGAGTTAGACAAGCGCCCACCTACTCTAACGATTCCATCTTGTAAAAATGGCTTAAGGTGTTGAAAAGCGCGACTACAAGTTCTATTCGATTGTAATCTTGTAATTTCAAATCCCTTAAGTTCACGCAATACTAGCAACTCGGCATAGCTGTAATCAGATGCTACGATATACAAACGTCGCGGTAGAAGCTTCGCGAATCGACAAACGTAAATCACGCTATGCAATAATTTCGACCAAGAGGATAAACGGTTCGCCAAAGCAATGATTGGAGAAACCTCGCTCGAAACGATCGCAACCAGAGCGTGTCTCTTCTCTTCCGGTGGTTGGGACACTGACGAAGGGTCGAAATCGGTTATTGGCCACTGCGAGGGTTCCAAATAAACCCAAGAAGGTCCGTGAAACCAAAGCGGGTGGTCCATTATTTGCATCGGAGTGAGTCCACGGGATAAACAATCGGCAGGGTTTCCCGTACCGGACACGTGATAAAAGTTCCGTGATCCTAACTCGTCTTGGATCTTGGCCACTCGGTTCCCGACAAACGTATCCCAACGGTGAAGTGAAGAATCCCAACATAGCACTTCAGAAAAAGCAAATATTCTTTCTATGTGAACTCTATCACTACATGCACTGGTAACTGCGGTGATAAGTTTGGCAAGGACTAATATCGCGCAAAGCTCTAGACGCGCGGGAGAGACAACCTTACGGGGGGAGACCCTTGACTTAGCTAATGAGGCTGATCGAGTTTCTACCATTATTCTGGACGTAAAAATATACAACGCCCCCGTAAGCCTTCTCGCTAGCGTCTGCAAACCCAACGACAGTGATGACGCTATTTCTATCGACGTTTATATGACGTGGTATTTTAATTTCGCGTAGTAAAGGAAGTTCCTCTCTGAAACGTAGCCACGAACGAACAATGCTATCATCCCAATCGCATTCACATAACCAAAGTTGTTTAATCAAAAGCTTAGCGTATAGCACCATCAGGGCTACGAAACCCATGACATCCCATAATCTAGCAACGCATGACAGCATTGTGCGCTTTGTGCACGTTTTTTCGGGAGGGTTTACCAACACAAACCGAGCACCTTGTCAGATCAGGTCAGGTCAGATCAGAATCGTCGAATTCTTTTATCGCCGAAAGGCGATGTGATAGTGGAATTTTATCCAAAACCGTACGCGAATTACTGGTCCACTTGACGAGATCGAATTGACCCGATTTCATGAGCTTTATGACCTCGGTGGTGGTTAGGATGGCCTCCTCTACCGACCGAGTACTTCCACAGACTTAGGATAAAAACCCTCATCAAAGGCGAGCTGTTACACCGTGCGTAGCGCATGAAATGGGCTCGAATTTAAACCAAAACAAACGCGATTAAATTCAAACACCATTAGAGGATCCTTTGGGTCAAAGCTATATAAAATGCATTGAACGGTCGCATTCACGGACCCCTATGCAAAAAAAACATTTAGCGAATATCGGCGGATAATGCAATACTAAACAAACGAAAATTTGCTATTATATTAAATAAGTTGCCCTACAAATTTTGCCCACTATAGAGAATATCGATAAGAGAAAGGTGAGTGCTAGTTCTAGCACTAGCATCGAGCACTACACGTAACTTGAACGTAAGTTCATCTTTTTTTCTTTTTTTTATAGAATAGGGTGACAAACGAGCACACAGTCCACCTGATGGTAAGTGGTTGCTGCTGCTCATAGACATCTACATCCATCCTCCATTAAAAATCAAAATGCAGATGCGTTGTCACCCGTGAGGACTGAGATGGAATGCCTCGTTTCCAGTAAAAAGGGGTCTCCGGTTCTCTACACTCACCATACGAAATACAGCAGCATTAAGCTACTATTTCACGCTGGTATTCTGTGAGAGCGTGGTCCTTCCCCCGGTCGAGCCGACCCATTCATGCTACAACTATATTACTAATATAACTGCAGCATGGCTCTACCACGTATAGATCATCTTCCCTAATGACACCGTGATGCAGTATGAAATACGACGGCGTGTCTTCGTAGTTATCTAATTTTGGAGTCGCAAGTGATATGACCTTATATATTTATTAATGACACCGTCATAAGCAGATAAAACCGTGCGTGACGGGTTACTCTTTTGACGTGGGGCCTGAAAGTAAGCCCTGTGTCTAGAGTGACACCTAAATATTCGGCGGTCGTATGCCAGGGGACAGGGGTCCCTAGCATACGTATTGGTGGAGTGTTTTTGAGACGGCGTCGTTTATAATCGAAGTGAACGGCGGAGCTCTTCTCCGGGTTCACATCGATGCGCCATTTTTTGAACCAAGCTCCTAGGTCAT